ATGTTATTCACGCGTAGTCTAATGGTCACAAATTAAGTAACTTGGATTTAAACCGTTTTAACTTGCCGATGTGAAATGGGGAGAAGCAAAATTCCCCGAGAGCTGGAAATCCCATACTTCCACGAATGAATAAAAGCAATGCACATCTGTATAAGCTAAACCATGCATATATACATTACATGAACAGATATAGTCTTTGTAGATAGCTGAACATGATCAAAACCTACGTGTTCCTCAGTTCTTTTATTTTCTATTTTTAATTGGGGATATTTTTATTAGCTTCTTGAAAGATGTCAATAAAACTACATGTTTCAATTTATAAGACAAGACATATAAGCACTCGGAGCACAGTAGTAGACCAATCGATTGCACTAAACTTACATATCCAATACAATAGTGTATTATCATGTATTGTTTAACAAAATAATATTTACCATTTTAATGCAAAAAAAGAACAAAATATTGATGAAATTGTATCGTAGTCCGATGATTGTAACCTTTTAACGCACTTTAATGTACAACATTTTATTAATATGAGGCAAGAAAACACTTTAGATCATCTGATTTACATCGTCTGATCATGAAGAATGCATGGATCACTAATCTCCACACACACATCAAACTTTTTTTTTGGGTCTCGCTCTCCTGTGAGACTGAGAGGTTGATACAAATCGTTATAATTTTTAATCAATGAAAGAGTTGTGAGCTGGTCGTGCGATGACAATAGCGATAACAAAAATAATGTTTATCGCACGACCAGCTCACAACTCTATTGATGGAGAAACTGTCTGGAAACTATATAAGGAAAATGTTGATTAAATTCATGTATATATTCAATGGTCTGTGAAGTTGTGAAATGATCAAAACATAAATGAAATACTAGACACAATCTTGCATAAAATGACATAAACTGCACACATACATAAATAGGTATATTGGACTACACATACAGGCGGGGCATGACAGTTTGGTCCAACTTTTTTGTTTGTCAACAATTTCTCGTCATATTTCGAATATGATGGCATTTGGTACCTTTTCAGGGGACATTTCTTTAACATGGTAATTCTTCTTCCACACTATCCCCCCCCCCCCCCCCTAACCCGAAAAAAGTGGAAGAAAAAAAGAAGGAATTAATGAAAAACAAATACAAAATCACAAATCAGTTTTAACTTTTAACCCAAAACTCGACATTCTTTTTAACTTGAAAAAAAAGAAGTTCAATATCTTTAAAATATGAATTTCAAAGCCTTGTTTGAGACTATACACATCCAGGGTATGTATTGTGATTTTTGACATAAATCTTCCGCTATGTTCGACTTTGAAAAAGCCACGACTGGGAAAAGTAAAGGGAATTTCCCTAACCGAATCCCCAAACCGACACGGTTGAATGATGTCATGCGAAAACTACATGGAGGGCACGAGGGGCACCGCCCCCCGAATAATACATAATCCACGACTAACTAATGGCAAGGGCAACAATTAGTATAGGGAAACTAGTCTGTACGTATAGACCCTGCTTATAGGCGATTGACGTCCATTGCACACGAGGGGTCATTTCGATTGCGTTAATATTACCTGCGCCAAGCAGGTATTTGAGAGTAATTTGATCATTATACGCCAGTAACTTTATCATCATACTTTTGCTTTGCTCATTTTTCATTCACGTTCTGTACAATATCACTCTTCCACGGAGCGTCAAAAACCGCTCCAATCAATGACGCAGACGCAGTCCTACGTCAGCAGCACAATAATGCTGCGTCTCGAGTCTAATTTAAAACTTATGTGTACTAGTTTATAGGAGGGATTAGACCACCCTGCAAGGTCACTGGACAGGTGGTTATCTCATCAACTCAGCTATCAATTAACATAAGAAAAAGAGGATCATGGGGGACTAATGGTCACCAATTAGGCATTGTTTTCTATATAGAGGGAGCAAGTAGCTACAAGTAGTACAATGGGGCTTTAAAACAACTTGACAATGGGAGTCTAAAGGAAAGAGCTGCTGCAGTACAGAGTCTACGTAAATGTTAGTGTATTACCAGTTAATTTACATTTATATGACTGACAAGACTGGGCACACATTCTATACAATGGTCTACGACAGTCATTTCACGTTGTTAAATTCAACAACTTTACAACTAGATCCTGCATTTTTAGAACAATTTTACTTGCAAAGTATTATCGAAAAGGGTTTAACATTTATTTTAATCGTCATCAGAGCCGGCCGGTTCTGATGTCAAAATTACATGGAAAAACAATAGCGCGGCCTCTCTAGTACGGAGAAACGGGTGGACAATAATTAAGTAAGCAGTTGTATTTCCTCATTAGAAATGATTGATGGTGAAATTTCCTCTCTATCCATTTACCAATAAACTGAAATGAAAATATTTTCCGGTTATAGGCAGTTTTCTTCTACTTCATACACCCCTAAATACAATAAAGTCCAATATGCCCCATGACAACATTGTTATCATGGGCAAGTAAAGTTCATTATCAAATCAATAAAGCGTGTATTAATTTATTTTGGTGACGATATTTACGCTGTGTGATCATGATTGTTCACACATCCGATAAGGTATCTGTATGATTCGCTTTAATGATTCTGGTCAAATCCTAAATCAAGATAAATATAACCAAAGCAGCAATGACCTCCACATTGGCGATACAATTCACTTAAAATCCGCGATTGAGCATATTTAAATTTAAATGTATGGATTAGAATCCAACAAGTCATGTAAGATTATCCTCAAATTTGTCTTGACAAGGGATGACAACAATCGAAATTATATTGTAAACATGATATCGACAAAATAATAGAGTACTAAAAAAGAACGAAGGGGGTGGGGGGGGGGGGGGGGTGTAGTCGGGAGTCCCATGACCCAACATTTTCTAAAATGAAGAAAAGTACCCCTCGTAATAGAATATTATTTCTCCTTTTTCGTTAGCTTACGCGCAGTCGCTGATCACCAACTAATTTTCAATTACCCATAATCGTGTCAAATAATAACATAATCAAAAAGCGAGTCATAAACAAATAATAATGATGCATTTAAGTAAATGTGTTATAAAAATGTCATTTGTGCAAATCTATCTCTTAAACCCTTACGTCCGCCCCCACCCCGGAAATTTCTGATAATAGTTCCGTCGCTGTCGAGTACAAAATTGCCAACATGCGTGAGATTCCCGTTTATCCCGCCTTTTTAAAAACAAATTAAAGTTTTTATTAATCAAAATCAAAGATCAATCACAATAAACAAAATATTAACAAGAACTTTACACAAAGTTGAACCTATTTTAGGCCAATGTAATGGTTCGGTTGTCAAGGCAACGGGCTTCCATAATATTTCAATGATACATGATATTAAACGGATCACAAGGGAAGCTTGCACAATAATGTTTTTGTGGTAAAAATCGTTGAATAAAAATATATACAACCTCTGGATATGTGAATAGATCTCTTGCATTTTCAGAAATTCAAAATCAGCCGTCATTTTATTAATACCTTTACTAACTTTTCCAGAGATCAACATTTATTTTGTATGATTTGACCATGTGAAGTATCGATGATGATTCTTCATGTGTTTACTCAGCGAGAATGTGATGACGTGGACATCAATTAATTAAAAGAACATCCACACCGACTCCAAGCATCTAATGGGGATTTTCTCCCATTCTTCTTGGTAAATAGCAATGAGTAAATGAAAAAGGGTATTACCTGAATCAAAACTTGATTTTATAAAATAAATACTTCCTTGTAAAAACGTGGCGTTGTCTACTTTTTTTCGCAGCATTCCTTAAACCACAAAATATTTCCAAGAGTACGTCTCACCAAAAGCTGCGCCAATCGTGGTTCATTTCAAAGTACTGTCGAATGTTTAATTCAAGACATTTTTAACTTGATAATTTTTTCTTTTTTGGAAATTAATTGTCCGAAGAAGGACGCCATAGATCACAGCTGTGCACATTGCAATAACAATAATAATTGTTATCGCACGACCAGCTCACAACTCTATTGATGGAGAAACTGTCTGGAAACTATAAGGAAAATGTTGGTTAAATTCATGTACTGTCGAAAGTTTAATTGTCCAAGAAGGAGGCCATATATCACATCTGTGCACATTGCGATAACAATAATAATTGTCTCGGGAAAGGTCTCGGGAACGTCAAACTGGCAAAATAAAAGTCAAAGATGCTATTTCAGGGTAACATAATACATTAATGTAATGAAATGATTTTACGGTTTAACTATTTTTTCTGAAGTAATAAGAGCAAAGAATAATGAATTGTTATTTTAAAAGAGGTCTATTTTTTTTAAACGTTTCATTATACTGCGTGGCTGTGACTCTCATCACTGGTGAAACAACAGGTGGGCGCAAGGGGTGTACAAACCACCCCTAATTGTTTGTTTTTCTCGAAATGAATCCAACGAATAATAAATGAATAAATATACTACTACTACTACTACTACTACTACTACTACTACTACTACTACTACTAGTACTACTACTACTACTACTACTACTACTACTAGTACTACTACTACTACTATTACCACTTCTACTACTACTACTACTACTACTACTACTACTACTACTACTACTACTATTACTACTAATACTACTACTAATACTACTACTACTACTACTACTACTACTACTACTACTACTACTACTACTACTACTACCACTAATACTAATACCACTACCACTACTAGTACTACTACTACTACTACTACTACTACTACTACTACTACTACTACTAGTAGTAGTACTACTAATAACTACTACAACTACTACTACTACTACTAGTAGTAGTAGTAGTACTACTAATAACTACTACAACTCTTACTACTACTACTACTACTACTATTACTACTACTACTACTACTAATTCTATTACTACTACTATTATTAATATTACCTTACTGCTATACTACTACTACTAATAAAAAAAATTAAATAAGTATTTGTCTTTAATTTGTTTGCTTTCTTTTGTTACAGGTGATGCCGTTCATGTATTCCTTGATGTTTTTCTGGCAAGCTTGGATGGCATTGATGAGAAACATTTGGTAAAGAGACTATACGAACAAACATTAGATAAATTTCATTAGATTCTGCCATTCGATAAGGGGATTTTTTGTTTTATTGGTTACAGATCATCAACAGTAATTTGTGGTCAAAGTCAATAACGTAATCGGAATTATTATGTCGTTAAAGTTTGAATTGATATCTTCTAATCTAAATACAACGTTTAATCTAATTGTATTGATATATCTGCAGTGACTGGCGTTGTTTGTTTTCTGGCAGTCGTAAAGCATTATGTTATGGTTTTATCAGGGGCGTTCCAAGGGAGAGGGGAGGGGGTGGTAATTATCGACGAATTTGCTGACAGGAAAAAAGACGCATTTTTTTAGTTAAACAAAGTCATCAGAGATTAAAATGTTGATTTTTTTTTTTTAAATCCTAAAATATTTTCCTACAAGTAAGAAAGAAAAGGGGCTTTGGGGTTTCTTAAATGTAAAATCATCTACCATTATACTTGCATCTAACAATAATGAACGTAACACAGAAACGTTTTGTGAGTGGTGCTATTCATCACCCTTCCTACTTATAGACGACATTCCCCGATCTTGACTTTGTTTTCTTCTAGATAATACTGCGTATCATTGACGAAAGTCTCAATATCCAACTACTAAACACGAACAAAAATAATGATGGTAGTCCTAAAAGATCCTTACTAGGAAACGCCCCACGCGCATTATATATAATGTGGCTGATATATAAGTATGAGTTGTAAATAAATCAAAGGTCAACGATTTTTAACATTCAATATCCACAATCACTAGCGGTGTTATGGGGGCAAAGAGGTAACTGTTTCGTATGATTCGCTAAAACATGACCCTACAAAAGTAACAACTGTATTTGTCTTGTTCTGTATTGTTTTTGTTTTGTTTGCTTTTTTTCCCCTCGTTTTTTTTTTGCTGGTTCGTTTCGTGTGTTGTATTTTTTGCTGTTTTATAATTTGTGTGTTTGTTTTCGGCTCATGAGAATTATTACGGACATAAAACGCTCCCGACAATTGAGAGAAACAATTTTCATTTTGTTAGACCCATGCCCCTTAAAAAATACTGTTACTACGCGCCTGTCCCGAAAGGCCACCTGATGTCAAAATGAAGTCAAAATGTTTCAAAATGTACAGGTCTCTTTGATATCTCAGTTGGTAGAGCAGTGGTCTCGTAATCCGGTGACCCGGGTTCGAAACCAAGGCGATGCGCCAGTGCCCTTTGGTAAGGCATTCATTTTCATTACCAGGTCCCTCGGAGAGGACCTAAAGCCGTCGGCTGTCTGGTTGCTTACTTACAAGCATTTATGATTTCTTAGCAGTCAGGTAAAATAACCACCACCACCATTCATATTGGCATATACCTGGAAACACTATATGGTATAGGTTAACGGGAAATTTTAGGCCTATATTGCCTTCACCAAGCAAACATTCGATACACGTTTAATTTCCGCTCATTATGAAAGAGCTACCAGCATAAATTATTTTCTATAAGATGAACACACAGTATACCATTTAACTCATTTAGCAAAGAGCTCACAACAGGTCATATACGAGCTTTTTATATGCGGCAACATGAACATGACAGGTACTCAGACAAAATTAATCTTTTGAAAATTCATGCAAAGTTATTTTTTCATGTTGGGAAATCAAGATTTTATGGATTGGACAACCTCCTAGAAATGTTGAGATGAGTTCTCTATGTTATGATGATTACAACTATGACTTATAAACGCTATTCATATAATAGGCTACATAATATTTTCCCTTATACTAAACGGACCGTTTTCTTGAACATTAGAGAGGGGTTTTTTTCTTCTGAAATTAGTTTTCTGAACAACTATTGTTATAAATTGTTATACGCAACACTGACTTCACACCATACGGATAATTCCATTACAATGACTGACTGATGAATGATTACTCATTATTTACCGGTAACCATCACAAGATGCAATGCAATATCATCGTTGTGATGCAGGTGCTAATTTTCAGAGAACTATTTAGAAAATACAATAGTTAAATAATCTTTATTCGGTTAATATTAATACTATTTAGGCATATTTGACGAACAGATGGCATGGGGAAAATTATATATATTAGATATACTTGAATGGACCAGTCAATCAATAACAGAGCAATAACGGGAGGATCACACAGTGATAAATCGAGGACCTTAGGTTAGGTGATACAAAATAACAAATTGTATCAAAAATACTTCGCAGAAACCACACACACCATACAATGCAGTGGCATATTTCACACTAAAGATGCTTTTTTTCATGACCGGGTTGCCAAATATCTAATTTCCTGCTTTCCCTAATCTTCCCGACTCGAGGAATGGCTGTATATTCCCGTATTCACTCTAGCAACTGCACAACCATACGATGGGAAAATTACACAGCACTGCTCCCCGATCAAGCGGTATAGTGCACTATACGGTGTCTGTTGACCTACAAAACAGTGTATTGTTGCTGCAGCGGTGAATTCTCTCTCACTCTCGTTGTCCTGGTTTATGGCGCTTTTTCGAGACAAGAAAACCTGACTACAAATTTCAAACACTGGTCTCATCACTCCTTGAGTTATCAAAACAGAAATACAGCTAAGCATGCACTCACCTTCTTGTACGTTGGATGCCTGCTCCATTCATCACTGCGGATGCGCGCGTGCCACAAATTGAGATGATTATGAAGCAGCGCTAGGGTCGTGTCATCGGTCTCAGATGCGCGATCGTCTGCTTTTGTTTTAGCCGCCAAACCAAACCAAACCAACTCCTTGCGTATAGACTATGCTTTTCCTAGTTGTCACAATGTGAATGGTTTTACCAGGGATTTGTGATCCCTGTTCTCCCTGGTTTTACCCCCCAAGTTTCCATGCTTAGAAAAGCTCAGTGATAAACTATAGGCTGCAGTGCCCACTTTATTAAATGGTTTACTTTGAATGCTATATTTTTGGATGCTGCACTGAATGCCTCACACAGGTGGAATTTATGGTCCGTGATTTATGACAAAACCATATCAGTTTAACCATAGACCTACTACCACTGGACAATCATATCGCATGGAAACTGATCGATTGCACCTGTTCCGAGCTGATAGCGCGCTGACCGATGCTTAACCTTGCCCCTGTTTTAACCAATACAAATTTTCATTGATTTTTTTTTTCATTGTCACTGTTAATTCGGAAAAAAGAATACACAGGAATGCAATTGATAACACTCTAATTTTTCAAGTATATAGGTATCGAAAAGCACAACTATAGTATATGGTACGTTCGTAATAAGTGCCTCTTGATCTGAAATAATATTTATGAATAAAAGGTACTACATGAGTAGTAGTCATAATGACTCAAACATGCAGTCTTAAAATAAAAAATGCATTTGTTTCCCCGGGGGTAACCTATATTGTACATCATGCGCGTACACAAACACACACCAAGGAAAATAGGAAAAGGGTGTTTAATGTTGTGTAGTATTGTTAAAACCCAGTTAATTATAAAGTACCCTCATAGTTTATATCTTTACAATCCTTCCCCATTGAGAGACCAAGCTCATTCACAATCCACTTCCCAGGAAAGACCACGTCTATTATGATAATTAAGCCCCATACATAAAACTACCAAGTATTTTATTGTTCTGGCAGGCCCATTTTGTCTTTGTTTTGACGGCCCTCATTCATGTCTTTGTCCCTTTGACACAATGTAACCTACCCTCATTATTACTTGTATCCCTTTCTGTATAAATATTACATGTTCTGGCTTTCTAGAAAAGAGTTGAGTTTTGATCACCATTAAATCAAGACCCCGGCCCCCACTCAGTGTTATTTAGGGTACGCATATGCTCGTTCCCTCTTTTTGAAAGCACCCCCTATCTGAGGACTGCCAACATTTCAGAACCCCCCTTTCTCGGGCTTTTTGCGGGCTTTTCCTGCCTTGGAGACCCCCCCCCCCCCCCCTAAATCATGAAAAATGCTCAATGTACCCCCTAAATTCGGAATAATTTCTCAGGAGTCCAAAGAGATGAGAGAAAAAAAAAAAAACACCCCCTTTTTAAAGAAATCTCCGGGTGAAAAGTTATTACACCCCTTTTTTACAATTCTCGGGCCGGACTTTGTCGCACGAAAAGTACCCCTTTACCGGACATTTTGGTAACACGCATGGGGTCATTCCGACCCCGGAGTGGGGGGAGGGGGGGGGGGGAGCCGGGATCAAGACCCTCGATCTTTCTAGCTGGCTCTCTCTTCATCTTGTGTTTTACATACGTGGAAGTCCATAATGATGTGACTGATTTGATTATCCAAAGTTTTGAGATAATAAATACTCTCATATGACTCCGAAATTACAAGCCTCTCCTTGCTGCTTCATTATATGTACCTCTCCTACCGGAAGTGGTGGGGGGAGCAGTCGCCACCCCCAAAATAGCCCTTCTCTCGATAATTTTGCCCCCTTTTTAAACGTTTTTTTTTCTTTCAAATTCGAAACCAGTGATTCACAAATGTGGCTGAAATGACATCGATTTTGCGATTTTTTTTCTCAATTTTTTTAAAATTATAGTACTTTTTTATGCGTTTGTTGGAAAATTACAATTTCCCAGATTTACAGTCAGGCTAAATGTACGCTAATTAAGAAGCCTTCATGTCAGGGCCTCCAGAATGGCGGGGCTCGGTGTTCGAGCCCCCTCAAATTTTTTATAAAGTATGTTACAGAGAAAAAGAAAGGAAGAGAGAACAAAAAAATAAGTGACCTGCCAGTGTAGCAAAATATGCTCATCTGACCATAATTAAATGCCTAAAACCCCTGAGCTTCCGGGGCTTTACCCCTGGACCCCACCAGAGGCCCTACGAAGGGGCCCTGAATGCATATCTGACCATAATTATATGCTTAATGGGACTCAGCCCCCTGTACCCCTCCCCCCCGCGCCAATTAGTAACGTGCCACTGTCACAGATATAGTATCAAAAATATGCTCATTTGACTGTAATTACATGCCTAAAACCCTTCGTTTCCGGGGGCTCCGCCCCTTGACACCCGCCGGGGCAAGGCCCCTGAACCAACGCCCAATTTACACTCTACTCGCTTCGCTCGCTATACGTTGTACCTGATCGTTATTACACCAATTTGAAAAACAGTCCGCGGGGTCTGCATGTAACATGTAAGAGTAGTGGACTAGATGCAGAGTTTTCTTCTGCCCCCCCCCCCCAAAAAAAGGGTTTTGCTCGTTACGCCACTGCTCCTGAAAGGTGAACCACTGGAACGTTTCCCCCCCCCCCCCCCCATCTCAAACTGCTTCCGGCGCGCCTACCTCTTGTTAGCCTCGATCTAATCCAAATTTAGAGCGCATATTTTGTGCTTTATTTCTCAAAATCGAACAAGAAGTTGGGCTCTATAGAGCCTATTATACGAAACACAAGACTTCCCAAATTTCGGGGGACCACACCCTGTTGTGTCCCCAAGCCTTAAAACATTTAAGGGATGTGTCACCCTACCCCCCCCCCCCCCCACTGATTGACCCCATGGCCAGTGCTCGTTGCCACTGCTTGTTGCCAGTAATCGTAGCCCCCGGCCCCCCACTTCGGGGTCGGAATGACCGCATGCGTGTTACCAAAATGTCCGGTAAAGGGGTACTTTTCACGCACCAAAGTCCGGCTCGTACATACACAAAATTGACTTTACACACCGGACTTAGGGGGTGTTTTCAAAAGGAGGGAACACGCATATGCGTACCCTAAATAACACTGGGGGGGGGGGGGTCGTAGCCACATCGCATGGGCACTCATCATATACTCGTCGTGGCCACTCATTCGATAGAAACTTCTTGCAGCCACTCATCATAGCCACATTTCATAAACATATCGTATAGACTCTCTTCGAAGAAACGTTGCTGAGACACGTCTGTGCAAGACTTTGCAGTTGACGAAATCTAGAGTCATATATTTCGTCAATGCAACACACTGCCCCCCCCTTCCGTACAAGGTGCTATTCCTCCGTTTATTTTGTTTAGAACTCAACCAGAATTATCTTATTTCGTTTATTTAACGTGCATACGAATATTCAATGCTAATTAAATTTAAGTACCGTTATCCTTGCATCAATATATTGTATGTTTAATTTCGTTTAAGATTATAGAGCTCAAATAAAGAACTTATAAATCAAAGACAGGTGTCAGTTTGCTTTTTTGTTAGGGTACGCATGACCATGTCATTACACCTGGATAAAATCAGTCGTTAGCCTGGTAAATACAATACCAAGAGCTGAGACTATCATGGTCATTAGTAACAGATTTTATTTGATAAGATATTCAAGTACATGAGAAATTCAATAAAAGTATGGAGGAAATATGAATGGGCGGATCAAAGGTAGCCGACCCCTACTCCCTACCCCCCCCCTCCCCCACCACCCCCGCTATTGAAGAAAAGAAAAATGCAAAGAAAAATTTCAAGACTCAACGGATGTTCATGAACATACAAATTATTTGTTTTAACACTATGATTATCACGAATCATAATTTTCAACGAAAATTGCATATCATTTTCCAAATCCACATAATTGGCTTTTACTTGACTAAGTATACATCAAATGTCGTCTGCTGAGAGACACCAAGGGCGCTATGTACGTTATGCCCTTTTTTACCCAGAGATAAGCCCCTCAAAATAGTTCTTGGCACATTGGTGTGTGACAGGTTGCTTTGTATTGTGCTGCGAGGGAGGGGGTGGTCACGTGTGCCCCTGTTTTTTCAATGTTTGAATTATTTAATAAAAAATATAAAAATCTTTCTGATTATAGGACTATTCAATCACAGCCACCATCCACCAGCGGTGGCATGACCCCCGCCTAACCTTCAATGGAACTACGACCCTACCCCCAACGGCGTACCTGGTAGATAGGGTGTGGCACCCCAACATCGTCATCGGTAACGCCAAAGAAGTTTTACTACACCACATCTCAGATACAAACCAGTACGTCACGGTTGACTGGGATGGGAACGTCACGTTGGTACAAAGGTAAGATCAGACGAGGAAATAGGTGCATACGTGGATACGTCGCCGGACTGTTGATCACAATGTTCTCGGTTCGAGTCCCACCGTGGCACTAATTTCCTTTGGCAAGACATTGATCTACATTTACCACATTCCACCCAGGTGAAGTAAATGGGGACCTGGTAGGAATTTATTCCTTGAAACGCAGCGTACGTAACAACTGTATTGCTAAGGCCAGGGTAATTATGCTGCATTTATATTGTAGAGCGCTTAGAGACTTCTGATAAAGTAAGTGTTAGGTGCTATATAATCAAATATAATTATTATTTATAGGGGCTCTTTTCTTCGTAGATGAACCGTAGAGTATTTCATAACACAAGCCTTTCGAAACTCAGCGTGAGGCAGTTTCAATTTGCGAACATTACACTGAAGTATTACGTCATGCTAAAATAATTTTATGGTCGCATAGTTAGATAATATTGATAGCAATAGTGCAATGAAAATGCCGCGTTTCTTGAAATGGAAGGAAATTAAAGCGACCAAGTTGACGTAGGCATGCTGGGAGACAGTTGTATCTCCTTTTTCATCTTTCCTTCCCTGTTCCCTTTACTCTGTTTCATTTTCTTTTCGATTCGATGATAGGGGTACGTAGCACGTCCCCCCCCCCCCCAATCTACTCCCCCGCTCTTCCCATACCTACGCCACTTGGGATAGCATTGGTGTTATTTAGTCTTTAAAATGAACATGGAGACTGTTTCCTTGCAATGTGACTTCGTCCTATCTTGGAAGCGGAATTTAATCTTATTTTCATTTACTTTGTTTCATGCAGGTTATCCGTAAAGTTATCCTGCGCTATGGATTTTCATCGTTTCCCAATGGATACTCAGAAGTGTAACATGGATCTCCAAAGCTGTGAGTAGCTTTATAATATCATGCAATATTTGATAGGATTTTTTTCTTCAAAGAATGCGGTTATAGAGATAATCCTTTTGCATGAGATTAGGAATATCTACAATTTGGCGTTGATCATTGATGAAGACTGGGAATAACTTCATCATACGTTCCTTCTTTTCGTCTGTTTTCTTTTTTATTTAAACACAGAGAAGTGATAGCCAGCATGTGGCTTTCCTATAGACCGTTGATAATTTTTATTATGAGAACCGAGAGATGTACTGTACACAACTTTGTGCAAAATTACTATGATTCTCATCCGTTATGCCTTAGCATAAGGTCGGTCGCCAGAAAATCTGTTCCAAATGATAACATGCTTCATGTATGGAAATTGTATCTTGCTCATAATCAAGGGCAAAATATATCGTGATTGTTCTAGCCGGGGTACTTGTTTGAAGGGGATCTCGCCTCTGTGTATTATGGACACGCGTAAAGCTATGAATCAAAGCTATTAATTTGAGAGATCAACGAAACTTGATGATGAAGTATCTTTCATCACGTGATTTACTTTTGACCAATCGTAGAGCAAGATTCTTAGTATGTGCAATATAACAATAATTATTCAAAAATAGTCTTTATACTTTCAATGACTTATGTTGATTTTATTCAGTTGGTCTGACCACGAGTGACCTGGTCCTACTGTGGGGTGCCCAGAAGCTGGAATTCCACAGTCATCATATGCGACTGCCTCAGTATTTCCTGATTGGTGTAGATTTCTTCGACTGTACTGAACAACGTTATAATGGTCAGTATCCATCATTTTTATGTTTATTTGTAATCGACATACTAGAATGAATGAATTCTCGTAATGAGATAATGATAAGACTATGACTGGGGGAGGGAATCTGCGAACTGAGCGTACACCTTCACATCCTCTGTGTGCCCATGCCTTGAGCCATAATGCATGGCCGTCCAGAGGATTTTTTGATGTTGGGGACCGGGGTAAAATGCAATAAATTATTGACAATTTATTGCATTTTCTGTTTTTTATTTTATTTATGGAAACTGCCCCTACCCTAGCCCCCGCTGCGAACAGTTATGGTTCAGTGACAAAGCAATGGCCTCGTAACTGTGAGGACTCAGGATCACAACCGTGTCGATGTGCTATATTAGTGCCCTTTTGTGGGGGCATTAATCCTCATTACTGTCATTTATGACTTAAGGGCGTAGGTCTCCTAGTTGATAAGCATAGTAGCACACACATGCTTTAGCAGTCACGCAAAACACACATTGTCCAACTATTATTCGATAAAATCTGAGAATGTAAACTATTATCTAGATCTATTATTTTTAAATTATTTTTAAAATAATTCCATAAATTTGGGTAAAACAAAAATATTCCAACTTTATGAGCGACAGTGTATATTTTGCCCCCTCCACCGTTCTCTGAACTTTCAATTTACTCGCTGTGAATGATTAGCCGCTAGATGGCGCTCACCAATAATAAACCAGAAGTGCCGATGATGAGAAAGCAATAGTCCCTAGAAGTGGTGTCGAGCGTAAAACATTTTTAGGTGGCTGGTACAGAAATAGAAATTGACCATGGAAACTTTTGAATTGGTATTTTAGATAAATTCTGAATAAGTAATGAACAATGAGGATATAACAATGGCGATAACAATGTGTCACAAAGTATTCTAAGATCACGGAGTTGGTGAATCGGATGTTATGTCTAACATCTCACTTAAACATGTACTAACAGCCTACCAAAACGAGCCAGTGGTTCTCTTCACTAGTTTTAGAACTTAGTTGCCAAGTTCAAATGTTTGTGATGGCCAACCTCCGGTGGCCCACTTTTTGTGTTATTTTTTTTTCTAGGCGTGCAAAGCGGGGAAAGGCGGGGGACACTGTCCTGTGTTGGAATAATGTGCTGACTTTCCCCATTTCTTCTCTCTCTCAGGAATTTTCTCCTGCGTTCGAGCTCAGTTCACGCTGGAACGTACCCTGGGTTACTACATGCTTCAAGCTTTCATTCCTAGCATCGCCCTGGTCATGGTGTCATGGGTCACTTTTTGGATCGATGTCCGAGCCTCTCCAGCCAGGGTCGGTCTCGGCGTTACCATCATCCTCTCCGTCATCTCGAAGACCAACGGGGTCAGGCTCGACATCCCGCCCGTGTCCTACCTCAAGGTAACCCCGGTCGGGAGGGGTCAATTGGGGGAAGGGGGGGGGGGCAAGAGGGAGCTGACCCATTTTGCCTGAATATCAACTTTTCTTTGTAACACGATCGCAGAGACTTTCGAAATAAAAACCTACTTTAAAGCCCCACTGCACTTCTTATAGCTACTTGCGTCCTCTATACAACCAACAATACCTAAGCGGTACCCGTTGATCCCCCACGAAGCCCTTTTTCTTATGTTAATTGAGAGCTGATTTGATGAGATAACCACCTGTCAGTGACCTTGCAGGAAGGTCCAATTCCTCCATATCAAACTAGTGCAGAGGGGCTTAATTAAACTCCACTTTCAATTGCCTTCCCATTTACCTTAATAATAAATGCGAACATGACAATGAAGTATTACGTAATCTGAACATGATGGGATTAGCAATAGTGAATTGAAATTCAGGCTGTTGCGGCGATTTTTCGAAAGTCTTTGTGATCATGTTTTGTCTACATTCTGATAGTGAGCGACATTTTGACACTTTCTTATATTTATAATATAATTAGGTCATCAAAACTCACTTCATGCCCCCAGCATAATGATAATTACAAATAAATTACCTGCCCAAATATGGGATCGTGCTTGCCCGAACAATTACGATCATATTTAGGCTGCCCTAATATTTCATAAAGACTTTTGGTAACACCATGTGGTACCGTATTGAAAAGGCTGTTGATTTTTTTATTAATATGCCCTAATAATGCTAATTTGAACCCTTTTGAGTGTGTGGGCTCACCCCCCCCCCCCCCCACCTCGTGAACCTATGGGTATCAAAATATGTCAAACATACAGCGTACAGACGTAAATCTGTCGTGTTTCATTGAGTATTGACTTGCATTTGAAAATCAACCATTGCATCTTATTCTTGTCGAATGGGGGCGTTCTTCTTATTCTCACGTCGAATGTTGGTATCGTGATTTCTTTGTACAGGCGATTGACGTATGGTACACATCGTGTCTTTTCTTCGTGATCGGAGCCCTGCTCGAATACGCTTTGGTTCACCATCTTTCCCTGGGAACGAAAAAGACCAAACAGAAAGTTCTTGCATTCATACCAAAGCAGGTCAGATTAGTCATGTTTTACCATTTCAGAAAGGATTTTTGAAATTTGGTTAATTCTCTTTTTAATCACGCATTATAATATTATATGAGGCTCAGTGATTATACAATGACCGTTATCTATTATTCGTTAGACGTTACTTAGAGTAATGCATTGACTGTAAAAAGAGGGATAAGGTTATAACTCAACATGAATCATCCTTCCATCCTTCTATCTATCCATCCATCTATATCATTCATTCACTTAATTAAAAACAACCGACGGACCAATCAATCTGTCTGTCTGTTTATCTTTCTGTCTGTCTATCTATCTATCTATCTTTATTTCTTAATTTCTAGCTATCTATCTATCATGCAATCAATCTGTAAACCAATCAACCAATCAAATCAATCAACTCAAAAAAGTCAACCAACAATTTAACTAATCAACCAATCAATAAGTCAATCAATCAATCGATCGATCAGTCAATCACCTCGTGGATCTATCATCTCGCTTGGTCCCATGTCTGTCACCAAGATGCAGCACATAAATAGTTCTTAATTATGGTTTATTTTTATGAATGTTCTCATTACCTATGCAGGGTTCATCGAGTCAGGAGAGTGCGATGGGGGTCAGCCATGGTACCATCGAGAGCATCTCGGCACCATGCCGAATAAGTAGACAGCATCAGGTTATACGTCGAGATGAAACAACAGGCGAATTACGTACAACCGCATCAGCGCCACCTCTCGACAATAAACACCCACAACCATTGCAGACGACGTCGCCATCTGGAAGACAGGCGTCGGCGATAGGGAGGGAAACCTCTCGCATGCAAGGACAAGAAGTATCAACATGTTATCACTGTAACTCGATGCCAGGAGAAACACATGTCATTGATTTGATTAGCAGATGGCTTTTCTCGATTGGATTCGCCATTTTTAATATTTGCTTCTGGGCGTATTATCTGCCTACGAATTATACGCCCGAGTATCTTACTGATGACGAGAAATTTGTATCGCATTCGGTGGGCAATTTATAGGTGTAATGTTAGGTGTGTGGTGTGGTGTGGTGTGGTGGTGGTTATTTTACCTGACTGCTAAGAAAGCATAAATGATTGTAAGTAAGCAACCAGACGGTCGACGGCTTTAGGTCCTCTCCGAGGGACCTGGTAATGAGACATATTGTCATGCTTCTAAATCAAGCTATACGCTTAACGCCTCGAAATTATTCAGTCTGATTATAAATCATGTGCTTTGTTTTGGTGTGATTGAATTCAATGACAACTACCGGATTGTTTGTTAAATAATAATTAAGCAAGTGATGGGAGCTTTTTTTGCTCAGCATACACTCTGAATAGGATGTATTAAATATGAATTGAACATAATATGGTCTATAGGATGAAATTCTTTCAGGAACTCCTTCGTTTTCGAGTATTCTCGCATGGAGCATTATTTCAATGTGGCCTTAATTAACCCATCATAAGACACTATATTAAACTGATTGAATATCTTGCTCATGAAAGTGTACCAACTATATAATGTTACGTACCTCATCGCATGCCCACACAAATCGTGTCTGTCCGTTGTTTATTTATCGTAATTGAATGTTGACTTTGAATGGAGTTTTCTTAAGATAATAACTTACCGTATTGATATCACCCAGAGAATAGATCTAGTACAAATTAAAACATGAATATTGTGGTCAGGATCTAGCTGTCTTTATGAGGGGCGGGTGGGGGCAGTTGCGGTAGAGGAGATTGATGGCCCATTCCCGGCTCCAAAAAAACTTCATTCCCCAAAATGTAATTCGAGAGGCAAATTTAGAAAACGAACGCTTGTGCCTCACAGCCCCTCCCCGACAGATATTCAAGAACCTATCCTGTTGTGTGTGGGGGGGGGGGGGGGTACCTGCATGGGCGGCCTCTCGTGTAGCTGATACAATGCAAGTTATCACACTGTTGGACTTCTAAAGGGGGGGGGGGGTAATAAATTATTTCCAGCCCTTATTTTTCATTTCAATATACCCCTTCAAGTGCAATTGATCATGGTCATGATAGGCCAATGCAGGGACATTAAAAAAAGAAAATTTCTCGAGACGTTAAAATACTTTCTCCAATCGTACTAGACGTCCCGACAACCTTTTAATATTGGTCATTAGATTCGGTTAGATTCGGAGTATTCTTCTTGGACGTTTCCAGCACGTTTTTGATAGCTTTAGTAGTAAAATAGCTATCAAATCTGACGATCACATGCAATAAATAATTATCAGCATGACTGTCTACAATTATACTAATCATAAGTATAACGATTGTAAAACATTTACATAAAAAACGTGTTTGAGTAAAGAGACAGAGATCAAACATCACCTAATGTCATATTCATACCAATTATGAAGTGCTCTTTATTTGTTAATAAATGTAAATGTGTTGATCACATCTCATTACACAATTTTGTCCCACTATTTTCTATATCATATTCACATTCATTAGCACTCCTGTGCTATACTAGTTATCCTCTATTTATCTCTCCCTATAAGTATTTTCTCCCCCCCCCCCCCCCCCCTCTGTCCTCTCCTTTCCCCTAATCTGCTTCCCCGTTTTACCTCTCCCTATCTCTCTCCGTTCCCCTACATCTGACTTTATTCGTCATCATCTCTCTCTCTCCCCTCCCGTCCTCCTTCCTTTCCAAATAATATCAAGCTTAAGAAATCTATTTACAAAAGACTACTCGATTGCAAACTTCCAAGTTTACGCACATGTAGACATCCCCTCGCATCCATACTCATTCTCTGAATTCCACAACTATGTAGGATACAAAATAACCATTCAAACAATAAAATTGTGTTTTTATGAAATGTAAAACCGACTTTTCAAAGTTTATTATCTTCATTCAACTCCCTCTTAGTGCAGCATAATAACACTCCTCAACTTACATAGAACAATCTGCGTTCTTTGCCATCCATATACCTGCTAATCATTGATTATAAAAATCACTTCTAATTAAAGATTCAAACAACGCATAGAATTACAATCCCAGCCATTGAGAGTATGTATGAGGTCTCTTTTTATAGAAATCTTCTGCATTTATAAATTTTTCTGAGGTATTCTTTTTTTCACAAGGTTAATCATGTGATTATTATTGTAATAGTAACGGTGTTGCATATAAGTTCGTTTCTCATACACCCATCTGACTATTCTAACCAGAGAATAATTATTTTATCAACTAAAATAGTAAACCGTGTGGCACGGCAAAGAGAAGGACAGTATTTGAAATGTTCAAATTAAAATCACGTAAATTTCTCTACCATACCACTGGTTACTTATATGCCCTTTCTTTTAAGTAGAAAGCAAAATACCAGACAGATATTTGTAACCTGACAGAAATTGCGTAAAAATGAGAATAAGTTGATTCCCAGCCAACCTAGGATAACAATTTATTGATATAATTCATGTCTATCCACATAAGACACACTACACTGATGAGGAGAAATAAACATGTATCTTTAAAAATAATATATCTCTTTGATAACCAAGTACTGTTCTGATTTGCCCATAAATCTTTCTTAACTGAAATTCATCTACTGAGTGAGGTTTTTGAGAAACACATTTCCGGAATTCATGCAAATTAAACATTTACAATGTACATTGTAGACATAATGCATGCCAATAAAAAGAAATTATTCTGGCCTCTCAACTACTTCTCAAACACATTTTTAAGCCGTTGAATAGTTCTATAATCTTACGAAGTTTGGACACGAGGATATACAGTATTTGGTCAAATGCTGCCCTCTATAGGCAATAATCACCCCAGTCCTGTACCTCGTCACTCGATCAACCTCTTTTTAACAATCATATTTCAACTCCGAATAAAGCAATCAACTTTCCTTTATTAATGCTTGTGAAATGTGAACATGTTGTAAACGTGTACTTGACATCTTGCGTAATTTCACGGCACAATACAGCCCAATTTCATAGCAATTTATGCATACATTTTCTTACAGAGCCAATTATTGGCAAACTCTTTGCATATCCACTCCGTCTCCAATACCCTTTGGCACCTATCAATATCCTTTTTCTTAAGGAACACAAACGAAAAAGACGCCCATGATCTCAATTTCCTCTACTTTACTGCAACACACAAATATGCCTTCTCCTAACCCAAACTCGCTCAGCGAATTTGTCTAGGATATTAAAAGCAAACGAACAAACAAACAAACAAACAAACGGTTAAATGGTACATGTCACAGCAAGAAACGACTGAAAAAATAAATATATATCACATGTAACAATTCAAAATCGACTAACATAGAGCGATTAATGATTATCTCACTTGCACAAAAAGTCGATGGAAAATAAGATTTCTTAAGTTCATAGCCTTTCTTTAGACGTTTTGTCATATCATGAATTTCAAGTATAAGTATATCAAAAATAAATGTGCTGTTAAATTTATGATGAAATGTTAAAATTAATTTATCTTTCTAATTCATCTTTTCAGAAAGTTATAAACGTCTTCCTCATAATAGGATTTCAGCCTCAATAATTCATATCAACGATATGGAAAAGATATCGTTTGTGTTTAACCGGTATACGGTCCAATAAATTTTTAAATCTTGTAAATCGTTGTTTGATTGAAGATTGAAAAAGAAAAAGCACGACATGTCCCTCCCAGAAATCTCCATCCTATTTTCCAGCGATCGATCGTCATCTACATCTTCCATCAAATGGCTAAATACTGATTGATGAATAACAATAAATATGACTATAACAACGTCTTGGCAACTCAACGACATTTAAATAGATAAATACACCCACCACACTACCCTTCAAATGTATTGTTTTACAAGTCGAAAATACAACAAAAAAACGGTGAGCATTCAAATATATAGTTATCACGTAAGATTGTATATATAGCAAAAAAGGAAGAAACAAACTATGTTGGAAAGATTTTCACGGAGAAGAAAGAAAAATACTAAACTTGGAAAACAAGCAATGTTTGTCTGACGCGCGAAGTATAATAAAAGCAACGTTGTCAATATTTAGCAACTGTCTTTTCTAGTTCTATAAATATAAAAAGTATTTTCTGACTTTGTTTCGTCCAGTCACGGTCACCTTAGGCACTACGAGCAATATAGACATCTCTACAAAGAAATTTACTAACAATCAAGAATAAAGTTATAATATGCGAGTAAACACATTTCAAAACTATTCAGTACTATGATTTTGTGATTATATATTTCTCTATCCAAGCTCTACATATATTTACATTTTACGATAACGAATTTCTTCAAAAATTTGCATAAAAATCTATTGATGGATGACATAAAAAATGGTGGCGGCTACTTTTGACCATATCACTGTGTAAACAATGGTAAAGAAAGATTTCATACATGTACACCTACTTCTTTACTTATGATTGTTTTTGGTATATTGTTATGAAAAAGGAAACTGTGAAATTACTCATTATTGAGGAAAAACAAACACTGAATACATCTTCATCTTCTTAAAACCACTACCGGCGATATGCGAGCCCTCAAAAAGTCAAAAAGCTAATCTCGAAGTTTATATGTAGCAAGATGACTTTTAAGAAAGTATGTGCAGAATTTCCGATCAAAAGATGGGTGATAAAACACTGCCAGTTGCAAAATTCAAATTCGAAAAGAAAAGCGACTGTAATTTTGCGAATAATGAATATTTTGCCACCATTTACAAGTATTCAATTATGATTTTTAACAACATTTTGGCCCTTTTTTAAAAACAAGTTTTGAGATCTTCACCGTGCAAAATCCCTGCAACGCCCTCTAAGTTATCACTTTGTGTACTTTGTTGTCACCGACTCACTTTTTAACCATCGTAAATAATCCACAACAAAACAAGTCATGTCTTTGCATATAATAGCACCACAATACTGCTAATTATCATAACACGTTACACCACATCCAGCAGGTCTCGCTCTTGTGTCCCAAAATGAACTTAAAACTATTTGCAAATATGTTTGTGCCAAGTATTCAAGCTAGAATGTACAAAAGTCAAATTAAACGACCGTTTCCAGTATTTGAACTTGAGTTGAACAAGTTGATATCAAATATTAGTTTCATATAGTGTATCAATTCAACTAGCATAAATAAGAATACAAAAGAGGAGTAAATACATGTCAATACAGTGCATCAAATATTATTGATAAATAGACCACACTTTATTCCATTGATTACTCATCAAACCATATATACTAACTGCACAAAAGAGTAGTATCACACTGGCATGTTGCGGTTATGACGACGTTAACTTTCGTCTAGTTCAGTTTGAACAAATAGTCCTCTAGGACGGGGTGATAAGACTTTGGTCACTCAATGACTACGTACCCTGATGAAAGCCTTGTCCAAAGACTTCTTAAATAAGATCTCCATCTGAAAGCTGTTGTTTCAGCAGGAAACCACCCCATGGCTGTCTCCAGTACGCCTTACCAAGAACCTGAAAGTGCGTATGATGATGATGATAGTGTATTTGACCGACGAGAGGGTGGTTCAAGTTCACGGCGAATGTGCAGGACTAGAGCAAGGAGAATGGCTCCCCTCGCTGGCCAAGGAACTGGCGGCGCTGCCTGGTCTCTTGATCATGCTAGGGTGGAACTCTGCATGTCTTCGGGCGTGCTTCATCAAGTGGTCGCTCCTCATAAACCTCTTCTCACAGAGTGGACATGCGAATCTCTTCTCACCGGTGTGGGTTCGGTAGTGTCGGGCAAGCTCGTCAGACCGCGCAAAACGCTTGTTACAGTCCTGCCAGTTACACGGGAATGGTCGCTCTCCTGGAAGATAGAAGAATAAGTAAAGAAAAATAAAACGATTAGGAATATTTCAAATAAATGCGCAAAGAAAAAAAAAGATAAATAAATAAACAACTACATACAACAAAACAACAACGAATAGCAACAACAGATCTTGCATCTCGAGCTTTTCACACACACACAAACAAAACAACAAAAAAAAAACCCGATCATATCGCCCCCGCCCCCCCCCCCCCTAAAAAAAAATGTAATCGAAACATTTTGAGGGTATGTATTGTTTTCTTTTCGACCTGCTTCCCGTCTGGTTTCAGTCTCGTCGGTATGACTGGGATATACTTTGAAAAACAAATGAACCACAAAAAAAAAGTTATTCCCGACGATTTAACATTTGAAATTAGAACAATGCTACCAACATCGCAACAAACAAACAAGTATAGAAAAGAAGAATGTGCAAGACATGCAGTCCCAATATTTTGTGAACACCATATTGCGACATCATTCTAAGGACAAGTTAACACAAATGAAGTCTAACTTATTTGATGAAAGTTCAATGGTGCCGACTTATTAACCTTTTGAACTGTCTCGTCAGTAGAAACAAAACACGACAATCCACTTCCGATAAAAAGTAACCACATGTTTATTTCATCGCGGTATCATTTCATTTCTGTCTGGTATTTTTGACGTGCGTTCTTTGTTCGACCAGGCAGAGGTCTTGAGCGGGAACAGAGAGGGAGAAAAGGGGGCGGGGTAAGGTTCAAGCTTGACAGAGGGACAGAGAGAAAAGGAGAGAGTGAGAGAGAGAGGGGGAGGGGCAAAATAGAAAGGTGGTTGATAGATATGGAGGGCAATGAGAGGACAAATAGTATTTTGAACTATTTGCACAATTTTCTGTATTGCTGCATTGACATCCCCATCACGATACCAACCACAAATAGCCACCTGTTACTGCCATTTTCCAGTGGTTTAACAAAAAAATTCTTCACCGACCTCTGGAAGATCACAGCAAGACAAACCCCTATAAAAGCCCTCAAATATCAAGATTTACTCCCATTGCGAGTCATTGTATTTGTTAATCGGCAGGTGCACCCGGTCGCTATAGAAATCTCTCCGATGGGGTACAAAGAAGTCCCTTTCTTTTGGCGCCAAATTTGGGGCACGCGCCATTCGTTAGTTTGACCTTTATGGTCTCTTTGTCCCCAAGTCGCGTGCCAGGAGCTGCATCTCACGTTCGCATTGTCTACAAGTCGCTGCCATGGAAGTATTTTTTTTCTTCTCGGGTCTGGCATACATACCAACAGTGCGTGTCAAGATTTGCTCAATCTCTGGACGTAATGGTTTCTACTTTGTCACTCTTGAGCTCGTTGTGTATGGCAGTTGCGGGTTAGTCAACTTTCTTTGTTAGCGGCGAGCGAGCGCATGCCCAATCGTGCACTTTTACGGCTCTGCTGCAAGTCTGGTAGGGTGGGATAGTGTACATGCATATTGTCCACATATCAATAATAGACCAATAATATACAAAATAGTGCAAGTAGGCTCCTTTGTGAATTTCCCCTGCCGTTTTTAGCCTGTAATAGAATATACATTTACTTGCTACTTAATAGTGTATTGTATCTCGACCTAATAACAACAAACACTACAATACCCCCCGATGAATCACTGCACAACAAATTGGGCAAATTGCCATTTTTCAAGATTTACATCAGGCGGGACAAAAGAGAGTTGAAATGCGCTCAGATAAGCTGATAACGTACTAGAAATCAAACGATTGTTCACCAACTCACTAAGTATTCCTACAGGAAAGAAACTATATTTACACTACGAAAACAATTGACAATCAAATCACCGCCCGTATGTAGTAGTGATGCAAGGGGAGTTGAGAAGGGTGTGGCATTTCTGTACCTCATTCTTCCCTTCCGTTAACCCAAGCAAATAAATAAAGAGAATTCGGGGAAATGGGTTCATGGTTGAAAACGAATGTACCTAAGAATAGATGCGCCTATCAGTATAATGACATGCACCTCTATTTGATTGAGTGAGGATGGGGCAACAATCAAGGGGCACAATCACCCCCCCCCCCCCCCGAGGCCACCAACTCCCTGCACATCAATCATGACGAGCATTTGATAAAACAACACTGGGCTTATTCAATGGTTACAAAAGGAGACAACACCTTTAGTTTACATGAACAACATACCTTAATCGACATAAAATCTGAGAACAATACTTGATTTTGGTATTGTTTGAAGGGCACCGAGGCGTATGTTGTCCAAGGTGAAGGATTAATAGTACATTTGGTATAGTTTGGGCCCCGGAGTCGATCTATTGTTATGGTACTTCCCCATTGTTCTGGAAATGTTCGCAACAAGAGGCATTTAGAAATAGAAGCAAAACGTATACCCATCAAGAAAATGTCAGAATCGTAATTAACAAATAAACTGAGGTAGGATGAATTTACACAACTGATGACAGCAACAGATGATCAAGCAAAACCTGAGTAATTATTTTTGTTTTACCTAGAAACATAGACAAAGGGAAATAATGTGACCTTGATTCTCCCTTAGTTAGTTGACAGTGCAATCATGACGAGGACTGCGCAAGGACAACGTACATGATCACGACGTAGTCTAGACTTTCGTACCGACCATAAATGCACGAAACTAAAATGTAAACAAACGCATGATCACACGGCTCTGTATGTGTATACTGCAGAGACAAGTATTGTGGTTTATTAATAATACTTGGTTAAAACATAAGCCGTCGCGTATTGTTAATGGCGGCCCTTTTTTCGCGATGAATACACTCATCCTCAAATGCCATCTAGTGAAATGATAAAGTCTAGTCTACTTTTTAATATTTTGCGACAAGAAAATTATTCCTGATTCTCGACCACTGCCCTAAAATTTTGAAATTTCAGGTTACATTTTCAATCTTACAAATGGGCTATAATGAATTTGAAAAGAAGAAAAAAAATCAGTATAAGAATTATCACACAATTGGGAAATTCATTGTCTACATGTACGATGTGTCTTGTCATAATAATTGGTTATTCACTGACTGCGGAATGTGAAGCAGGGATTCAGAGATCCACTTCTCAAATTACAGAAATGAACCGTGAAAATGTCTTTACACCGCGAGATTCACCACAGTAATGGCCTATGATCATATTACAATTATGTACTGCAGCTATTCGCATTCGACATCATATACGTTTGCAGGTCCCCCGTTAATTTGAGCTCAGTGTCACATCACACTGCACATAATCCTAATCATATACGTAATCTAGACGAGCATGTCGCAATGTCAAAAATTAGTATTGTTATGATCATACACAAAATACAGACAGTAGTGTAAATTCAGTGGTGAGAAGTGCTGCATTGTTCTAGTATTCACGCAGTGTAATCGGCATACGAATAGGAGATCTAACACAGCAATTTACATGTTTGTTCAGTATGTACGTGACCAATTGAATGTTACATGTTTATGTGTTCATAGAAGGGGCGTGGACCATAATAAACCCTTCAAACATCATAAATGAAAGGCTACATGTATGTATCTAGATTACAAAACGGTCGACATAAATTATGGCCAAAGTTGACACAACACAAATAAAATGCCCTTTTCAAAAGAAGTCGGATTTTGTTTCCTTTTATAAATATTGCTTGCTAAGAAGGCATACCGTATACTGAATGCTCACTGAAAGATAGCTTATGGTTTAGTGCAAGAATGATCCAAGCTAAGACGGTAAGACCCATGTGAATTCAAAGGCTGCAAGACTTTTAAACCGCAGAGCTACAAATCGATCAACGCGATTTGACAATAGTTAAACGAGAGAACACAAAGAGTTACTGGTCAATAACTAAACAAAGACATCCCTAAAAAAAATAATACGACGTGGGGGAGAGGCAAACTTCATTATCTTGTCTCGGTTTTTTTTTTCCTTTAAATTTGTTGGACTGCAATGGATCTATACTTGTTGACAGGGCTACCTTAATTTGTAGTTGGTATATATATTTTTTTTCTATTGTTCGAAGTTTGCCAACGTTCCCAAATTTTGGTTGTATTTTCCCGCTCATTTTCATGAGGGTGAATTGCTGTACCTTTTGTTAACTGTCTAGCAGAATAGTATCATTTTATATATTCGCTGCTGGGGTCTGCCGCTCACTTTTAAAAACTCAGCTTATTAAAAAATTGCATACAAAAAGTAACTACTCCAGTCTCTCTCTGATTATATCCACAGTAAACCAACCTGCAAGAATTATAATCACTGGCGCCTTTGAAAGGCAAATTTGATAATTATATTGAACCCCAATACCACATGTTTAAAGTGCCTATAGTGGCAATGTATATTTTGTCTCCCTCATGAAAGAAATGTGTGTTGTAGAACCTGGTTAGAAAAGCCTACCGTCTAGCCTAGGTCGGCCTAAATAGAAACAGTTGTCAGTACTGTTTTTGGTTGGTTGATTTTTATTTATTTATGTTTTATACTTATTTTATTCTATTAGATCATAAAACGTTGATGAATTGACAAACTAGGAATCTTCTAATCAGAAAATAGGAGAAAATCAATACTGAAAGGCATACAGGAGAGCCACGGTGATATAATTCTTAAATCTAGTATAGCAGTCACTATAGGCCTTAGATGAGCTTCTGCCTTGCCTCTGGTTAACAAGAAGATTAATTCTTTGGGTACAGGTAATTAAGTACGTTTACATCAACATAAAAGAAACTCCTAAGCCGATATTCCATCGACGAAAACCAACCCCTCATCTAGGTGTACCAAGCTCTTCGTCTATTGTTACGTATGATAACGTCACAAAGAGCGATCTCAACTACACGTGTACCTTTCCCACCAGTAAACAAAGCATTGAAAACTCGACGTTCCATCAAGCTGCAAACAAAGAGTTGGACAGGTTTCCAACCAAGGGCCTCTTAAAAGGTTTGGCTCAAAAGCTTTGTCCAATATGGTCTAGAGTCCAGGATGATAAGTCCTTCGTTCCGTAACTAAACTTTATTTACCTGTCACCTAACAAAGGCCATTCCTAAATACACACCCAATAATGCTGTTGTTTATCCAGAGTTTGGGGCAAAAACAAGATCTGCGGCGGCGGGAACAGACCATTTTGACTCACCCTTCATAAAATGATTAACTTTCAAAACTACAGGACGACAGAGGAAGTTATATATTTTAGCTCTGATGGAAAACAGTAAAACTATTCATTACCCCCAAATTAAAGACAGATTATTTTGGTAGGGCCTATCAATCAACGCTCCCAATTAGATAATTGGCAGCACCCCTTTCCCCGTGACCACAGAAATCATAGGGGCCTATATCGAGACACACCCTTTTTCACAACCCGTCATCGTCTTACTGAATCTAATTACACCCAGCTCACGTACTACATGTGGCCAAATGAGGATATGTTACAAGGACACACCTAGCCAGTGAAAGACGTCCTTAGTTTCGCTTAGCCAACCTTCATATTGCATTTGCAACCTAATATTTCTTGTGATTAGCTTTTCATAATGAGCCATATAAAAAGAGGCAGTTCCTTTATATTTCCTCAATTGTCTTGTTTTTAATGCGTTTGTCTGTTGTTGTTTTGTTCATGATTACCACTTCTTCCTCTTAAAAAGCCCGGGAAAAAACAGCAAAATGCGCTGCACTTACAGGTGATGGCATTGTGCTACTCGGCGGCAACATCATGATATTGAAAACAGTTTTAAAATACAAGTACAAAATGTCTTTCTTTATATTTCACATGAATGTCATCTTTTGTGTAATTATCATAACTAGCCTAAATATTGGCGTATTGTTTGAGAAGAAGCTAAAAATATGTGCACTATAATTATGTCGGGCACTAGAGCATGAATACAATACATGTACATCGTACCAAATTTTTTCTTCTGTCAAACGGTTACGGGGAAGTTCAAAATAAATAAGCCCGCGATTCTCTCGAGCCAGCCCTAGTAACCGGATCGCCACGCCCCCTTCGCATGAGCACAATAATGCACGACACAAGTAGGGCACAATCTGCGGGGGCATCGCTCGGTCATGACGACGACGTACGTCACTAACAAAGAGCCCAGCGCAGCTCGCGCTGCATGCTCTCGATCTCCACCACTGTCTACTGCACTATAGCTATACTAGCTAAATGTTCATGGCTGAATCAATGCGTGCGCACATGTTACGTACATCCAATTGATTGTTTACATGATCTTTTGTCAAACTAGATCAACGTGATATGAAAACGCATTCTATAATCTGGAATACACCATTAGTTTAACAAACTTTTAGCTATTTAATCATAACAAACCACCGAATAATGGATAGCTATGATATTTCTCCTCACAAGACAATCGGTCTAGTCTAGTCTCTACAAAATGGTAAACACAAGGTGGGCGGTGCCGCATGCGATATGCCGGTGTGTACTTCGTGCAAGTTGCATCGTACACGGAACAGCTTCGGTACTGTACTTACATTCAAAATGTAATACACTGCACATGATAAATGCATGAGAAAACCGAATGTGTAGACAAATATCCCCGTTTGTATAATGTAAATCAATAAAGTAAAATCATTTTGATTTCTTTTGTTTCTAGTCACCCCATTTTTCTAGTTAAAATAGGGTCCTAACTTAGGAGCAAGTCATAAATCATTTAATAATGAAGTCTGGCCCTAATTAGCATTTTTTTTAAATAATTCATCATGCCTTGAACCACTGTAGTTTAAGAAATGGACATAGGTATTCTCCTACTACATGTACATCCTAGAATATAGATAATGATTTATTTACATAAATCATGTTCATTGATCAAATCATCTATACGTATTCATTTACATTTCCCATAAGATAAAGGTACAGTTGTAAATAACTACATGTAGATGCAATCAAACTATAATTTTTAGACCCTTTGATCTAAACCTTTATTAAATGACTTCCTTTTCCATAAATATGACATTGACAACATTTAGGCACCTAAAACTGTGTTCAGACTAGTTCATTTTCTCTGGAAATCAAAGCAACCATACTTGAGATTAAATAGGACATGTTCATGTGGCTACAAGCACATGTACATGAAATGATCAATTACCTAAAGCCTCGGTCACAAATTTTCAGACAATGGAAATTCGGGAAGACAATGGAAAAATGGAGATTCGTACAAAATTATCGTTCGTACGAACCTTTGTGACCGTAGCATTACCTATAATGATCTGAGGATGGAGTGCATACTGGATAGATCAACTTGCAAAGCAGCAAGGAAAAAATAGTTAGGGTAAATCATATGTAATTGATATGAAATATTCTTCAGGTGTAAACAAACAATTCATAGGCCACCTTATTATCAACAATTCACCACCATCATCACAATCAGTATTATATCAGCATTACCAACATCATGACCATTAATGTAGTGTATATAAGTTCTAAGGGAAAGAATATTCCATGTAATAAAACTATAGTCTATGAAAAATTTATCTTATAAAGAGAAGAGGAATAAAGATTGTAAAGAAAATGGGAGAATATTCTACTGCCAGGAGCTGGATGCATTGAAATTCAGTGAATATATGTCTCGAGTGAAGTAAATCGAGATAAAAAATAAAAAGTATTCTCTTGATCATCATGTCGATGACAAAATATTGCTCGAATGCAACTGGATCATGATGTAGACTGTACGTGGAAGGGTGTATCCTGTTTAATATGCTAATAATGTTGACATTAAAAAGAAAAGATTGCACAATCTGCATGCAATTATATATGCAAAAGGCATTTATTCCTCCTAATGGGATTTCCCCATGTGTGTTACGTGTTGTTGTTGCTAGGCCCATAGCCCGCACCGTGCGAACCTTTCTTTGTTCGAAGGCAATAACCTTTATCGCCGACTATTCACAGGGGGTGTGTCGACAGACTGCATGCCCGCGTAAACTACCGGCTGGCTGGATTGGGGCCCACGAGGGGATGAACATCAACACAAAACACGTGTAGGGATGAACAAAGAAACGTGGCGTAAATTAATTAAAAAACTATCTTACCTGTGTGTGTTCTGAGATGAGCTTTAAGATGTGATGATTTCCCATAGACTTTGTCGCATTCATGGTAGTGACAGTGGTGTTTCTTGACAGAAATGAGACTTTGGGACTGCTTTGATCGTCTGTTCCTTTGTTTCCCTTGTGTGAGATTCGTGTAATCACCACGTTGTGGACTTGGTGCAAAAGCGTCATAATTTGACGCAAGGGCATTGCTAAGTCCATCGTAAGGTCCATTAATGATAGGTGGGGGACTTGGACAGTCACTGGTTGGTGATGGAATTTCATGTCGTGGTCTGTATTTCTCAAGATCGGCCAAAATTCTAGCCACCATGAACAAAGAGCTGTGGCTGTGCGCATGGAGGCCGGACTGCTCGAGCTCCGACATGTGGTGATTGCCTGTGCTGACTCCGTCTGGTGAAAATACTCCACCATCCTTACAGGTTTCCATAAATTCGGGTGGTTTACAATTCGGTTTTGATGCCGCTATTGCAAGGAGACATTCTGCTGCTGTAGTGGCATCCATACTCAAATCCATGGTGGAATTAATATCGCCCTGAAAGTGTGATAACGTCGTCATCTTTTGGATGTTAGAACATCTATTGCGCAGTGTAAAAGTTGACCTGACGACTCGACCGCGCCGCGCCTAGCTCGCCTCGTGAAAACGTACACACAACGCAACGTGCTCGCTCGAACCGATCAGCTGTCAACAATCAGCTGGCGCGGTTACTAAGTGAAAATTTGGATCTGAAAATTGTATTCCTCTCTTTGCAAATCAATGGCAATAAAATTCTCCAACCTGCAACAGATCTCTAACATCACAGTATTCCACGATACCTACAGTTTATTTCTCAAAGCACTGTGAGACGTGAATCTGATGTAACGCTGATTTTGTATTACGAAAACTGTTGAAATCTGTAGACAGTATTTCGCTCGGCCTCGGTTATTGCAAAACAAAGATAGGCGTTTACGCACTGTATATACTGCACGCACGCGCGCCGAATAAATTAGCCTGAAGAATATTCATGAGGTCATGGATCTGATTGGCAAATGGTTAGGAAATTAGATTGTGACCTTTACTGACAATATACCTTATGAATAATGCATAATCCATGTCTAGCCACGTGCCTGCTTTGTTTAGTTGCTAATCAACCCGGTTTACCTCTTTTCATTACATTTTTTGAGACCATAATTTTCACAATACGCGTAACATTCTGCACCGGAGTTGATAGGGTGTTCAGAAACTAAACCCCCCCCCCCCCCAATAAAGTTTGGAAACTCAAGTATGAACGATTATTTGATTTTTGTGAAAAGGGACAGACACTCAACAGATATGAAAAAAGTTGTGAGAAAAGAAATGGGGAATCTGTCGAAAGAAACGGGAACCTATCAGATTTTGATAGGGGCATTTATCAGATGTGAAAAGGGGAATTTTGGAATAATAGGAAGGGCTCATATATTTAAAAAAAAATGAAAAAAAAAGGGAAATGGGCACTTATTCAAAGATATGGTACTTAAATAATGGTGGAATGTACAGTATATCAAAATAAGAGACAAGGCCAAAAGTGAAAAGTTGCAAATGCACTGCTCTTATTCGACTTTGCATTCAAATTGCACACCCTGGCGTTTCCAACAGATAATGATGCTTCAGAAAGTTGTACTAGTAGCTTGACGTGTCATAGTGACTAAATTTTTTATTTCAGATGCTTTAGAATTTGTCATTCATTGATGATCAGTTTGAAAAAATAGAACCACAAAAATTACAATCTCTTACGGCAAAGAAAGAAGAGTGCTCTGCATAACAATACAAGTGCTTATATATCACTACCGGGTCATTTTGCAACTTTTTACATTATTTGACCCTGCCACTTATTCTGATTTACTGCTCATTCATGGTTGCAAAATCATAACAAATATGGTATCAATTTTAAAAGAAAGAACTTACACGTTTTAATAATAATCAAAGCGATGATTAAGAGGGTTATATTCGACTTAATTTAATTGAGTTATCCTCCTCGTCACCAAAGAAATTATTGTTTTTAAATGTATATCATAATTTGCATGTGTGAAGAAAAGAAAAACAAATCATGTTTTCTGATCTTAAAATGATTTAGAGATGGATCACTCAACTATAATAAGGAAGAGGAGGGGGGAGGGGCGTCCCGTTAATGGGAGCCTCCCCATGAGGACCCACCATACTATTATATAGAGGCAGCCCACTAATTTCTTTTTTCCAGTTCAATATGTTGTCTGACTTTATGATAGATCTGTAGCTGTATACAGTCCCTTATGTGCAATCGCATTGTGTCTCTGAATTAGAATATCGCTAAAACTTGCACTATATTCCCATGGCAATTGAATTTAGTGTTTTGTCTTTTTTTTTTTTTTTTTTTTTGGAGGGGGGGGGGGGGCATATTGATTATTTTTTTGTGAAATAAGAAAGTAAGTGAGTAAGTAAATATATAACTGAATGAAAAATACATGAATGAATGAATGAATGAATAGGCCCGGTAAAAAAAAGAAATACATGAATAAATAAGTGATTGGACACGTAATACATTTTTTCTTTTTAATATTAAAAAAAATTAATTAATGATTAAATAAGTAAATATGCTCTAGAACCCACTATAATTATGCCAAGTGATGGATTGAATCGACGATGAATCTACAAGCATGACAAGACAACGACAAGAACTTTCTATAAAATGTTTAGCCTAGATACTGATTCAAAATATTTTTTTCAATTACATATTCATGTTACCATGACTTTGCCTAAAATCTTAATCTAATCATGTTTCCGAAGAACGTCAAAACTGAATTATATGTAGTCCTTTCTTTCTCGTTTTTTTAAAGAATTTATTAAAAGATGAATTTAATTTACCTCAATATACATTTCGAACAATCCCTTTCGCATATTAACTTATTTTTCGGACCATCTATAGTTCTACCTGCCAATTTGAAAATAATCATATTCACCGACATTCATTAAAACCGTGACCCATAATGACTAATGGATTCTCCCTTAAGCAATTATTCTCTCACCGCCCTTTCACAATCTTTAAAAAAGAATTAAACATTATTATGTACTTGTTATTTACTCTATATCTACTCGCAGCTTCACATCCCGGAATTATTTTATGATGCATTTTTTGTATCCGGGGTCTATCCAGGATATAATACGGAATCAATACTGGATTGATATTAATCAATCAACCAACGTAGTGAGAAATCAACCAAGCGACTAATAATTAAATCATTTAATCAATCAATGTTATGCAGGATCAAAATCATCTGTCCAAATCAAATATTATTTTGGGAGACTGTTCCGGAACTGCACATCTTGGCAATGAGATAAATTATTTCCGCGCGTAAAAAAATAAAATAAATAATCCGCTCTACTCAGTGTACATTGTTCTTCATCTTTTGCAGGAAGTGGTTACAATGAAACCGAAAGCGTGTTATGTAAACAATCTCCAATTTGTCCAGTTTGCAGATTATTGGTTGCATGAGAGGGGGCCTGAGAGGCACTGGAGACAAGTGCCCCCTCCCCCGGCTAAAATATATGCATTATAATTATCTGTACTTAAAACACGCTTGTGCACGCTAAAAACGTACGGAACAAGACAGTATTAGAATACACTTTTTTTCCTTCTTCTTTGTCTTATACCAGGGGGTGGGGGCAGGCGCGGATCCAGGATTCCTTTTGTTTTTGCTCCCGAAATTTTGAAAACTGCGCCGGCCGAAAATTCGCTCGGGGGGGGGGGGGGGGGGGTAGGGAGCCCCCCCTCTGGATCCGCCACTGGGTGGGGGTGGAAGGACACCGTCTAGTGCCCTGTCCCTGATCAAATAATCATGGATCCGCCACTATTAATGTATACGGTCCTATTTAATGCAGGCTCATTGACTTAAGTGTGAACTTTGATCGTTTGTAAGTTTGTCCAAGAGACGTGCTGTGCCGTTTGCTCTGTGGCACGTACAGGAACATACACACGGCAATAAACATTACTTTGTGAGCAGTGATAGTGTCGTATAATGACTATATGATTATTGTCAACTGGACCGTCTAAGGTAAGACCAAATGTTAGCACTGACTGCAACTTTATGAATATTATGCTTTATCGATTTATATACAATTCAAACTGCTTACTATATAGATGATTTTAAAAATATTTATGCTCTTGTAGAATGGCATTTGGTATTCATTGACAGTTTGCTTCGGTTATTCCTAATGCCTCGCCTTGCATGCATGGGTGATGTTCTTCGTTGTGTGCTTTTCAGTTTTATTTTAAAGAAATGTAGCAAAATGCTCATGAGGCGTAACTCTAACGATATGGTTTACTATTCATTCGTCTGTTGAGATTAAAAAGTACTCTAACACTACATTTTGTTTTCAGTTTACACCCTTAAAGTTAGAATGACTTTTCGTGGTGCTCCAACATTATACAATTTTGCTCGGTGGGCAATAGCTCCTGGCTTTAAAGGGACTTGGTAACATTGTTCAGATGAGAGAAAATGGTGCTAAGGTAGTAAATTCAAAGATAGATGTACAATTAAAGATAATCTGAAAGTTTGAGTGAAAGAAGTACATTATTAATGATAACAATTGGGAAAAACTGATCTGATCGATTCCTAAATTCTCCCAAATATCTCATTATAATTTATTTAAATTTTAGGTGGATGCAAATCATCACAAAGCAATGAATTGGCCCATTACATACCATTCCAAATAATTTTGACAGATTTTTAAAAGCCTATTTTTTATGTCTTATTTTCATAAAAAAACGATTGGGAAAATTCAAAAATTGGTAGGAGGAATTTATTGTTAGAGGGGGTTATAGACATTTACGCCTTAAAATGAAGCCATAATGTCTTTGTGGTTTGAGTTTTTTTCTCAGGATTTTTTGCATTTTAAAGGTAAGTACAAAAGAAGGAAAATAATAATTAACATTTCATACAAAAGTTACGCAGTTTTTTTTTAATCAACCTTCAACAATGTTACACCGTTACCGGTTTACTTTAAAATCGTCAAAAGTATATAGGGTTAGGGCTACGATTGCAAATGGGTTTTAGGTTAGCTTTCGGGTAAGGGCTAGGGTTAGGTTTAGTGTTGAAGTTAAGAATTCGGTCAGTGTAGGAAATTATCGCGGAGCAATAAAGTCGCAGGAGAAGATGTCGTACGACATTTTTAGCACTTAGCGGTTATATATTATTATCAATTGTAAAAAAATGTACCAAAATATAAATGAATCAAATGTAAATACCACATTAATGCCTGTCTGATTATTTTTGTCTGGAAAGATGATATAGAAATCAATAAATCAATTATCAATCTATATTCTAATCATATTATTATGTATTTACAGAGCAAGGAATGAGGAAATGAGGAATAGGAACATTACATTTTGCTGAAGTAAATGGATCAATAAAAATGGCAACGCATAAACCAGACGAAACGAGTTCTGACGTCTCCCCGCCATCATGGTAAGACTAGCAATTATGTAGCAATGCGTCAATATGGGGTATAATAGTTTCACCGTACTAATGATAAAAATGAAGTTGTATAGGCCTTTTTGTTTCTTGACATGGTTATACATTACCAAAAAATATGGAAGATAAATGCAGCACATTTGTAATTGTTAGATACAAAGCATAATAGCATTATACACTGTTGGTCATAATGGTGGAATAATTATTTTTACCCCAATTTATTGAATGATTTTGACAATGATTTATTCCTAATAGATCTAGATAATTACATTCTCAGATTTTATTGAATGACAATTGGGGAGTGTTTGTTTTGCGTGACTGCTAAAGCATGTGTACTATGCCAATATAGCACATCGACACGGTTTAGATCCTGGGGGTTTACAATAACGAGGCCATTGCTAAGCCAATGCTAGGGTACGTCGACGCCCCCACAAAAAACATTGCATGTTCCCCCAGTCCCCAACAGGAACAATTCCTCTGTAGGGCCACGCATTATGGTTCAAAGCATGCCCACGTAGAAGATTTTTTTCATGTTGGAGTTCGCAATGAAATGCAATGAATTATTGAAAAATTGTTGCATTTTCTTTTTTTTCTTTTTTTTTTGTGGGGGCGTCGAGTACCCTAGCGCCCGCTGCTTACAGTCATGATTCATAGGCTAAGCAATGGCCTCTTTACTGTGAGCCCCCAGGATCAAAACCGTGTCGATGTGCTATATTAGTGCCCTTTTATGAGGCATTAATCCCCATTACTGTCAGTTATGTCTTAAGGACGTAGGTCCCCTAGTTGATAAGCATAGTAGCACACACATGCTTTAGCAGTCAAGCAAAACAAACTCTCCCCAACCGCCATTCAATAAAATCTGAGAATGTAATTATTTAGATCTAGTATTAGGAATAAATCATTGTCAAAATCATTCAATAAATTGGGGTAAAAATAAATATTCCACCATTATGACCAACAGTGTAGTATGTATGTGACGTAGAAGTTGGTAGAAATAAGAAATTGGCATTTAGCTGGCACACATATTTTTGTGTAAATACATATTTTCATAGAGGGCGCTATTCCAAAATATGCAAATTAGCTTGTCATCTTTAGTCATGCAGCATCAAGAAACATTTTTTTTAGTGATGGTCCTAAAGCGATGCAGACATTTGGTTGCCCAAAATGGTAGAAAATCCTTATTATATATTTAGTGTGCATATTAAGAGATAAATCTTGTACTTTGGTGGCCATTTTGAAATGGAAGGTTTAGGCAATCATAATCCATTGACAAAAAACTATAAACTCTAAAACAAGGTTAGGCCAATAATCTGGATTTGGATGCCGGATTAATGTACACAGTAATTGTCAGATGTCTTAGAGATATTTATGATTTATCAGATGCAATACACTGTTGACTGTAACGTTTAAATTTTTCTTTCCTCTTTTCATGAAAATAATTGTTGCAGTATAATGATTTATTGTTGATAGACAAAGATTAGTCTAAGAATTGTATCGATCAATCTCTTTTACTCTTTATTCATAATGATCAGTAAAGTTCTGAGCAGATATAAACTTTATCTGTGCAATTAAATCATATTCTCACAACTACTTCATGAAAAGAGTTTAAAATATTATAATTTCAACTTTATTGGCAACAATGTATATTGGTTGAATCACCAACGGTCTTATTACTATCCCTAATCGGTTATTCGTTGCAAGGTAGAAGGAGTGATTAGCTTCATTTCATGCAAGGAGTAATTCCTTTAATTGCAATTTTGTTATTTTTGAGGTGTGTAGTACTTTTGCAGGTAGTAACTATAATTATTTTGCCTGGATACGCTTCGGATTTTTTTACTTGTATAAGTCCAAAAGCTAAGCTTAAATTTCTAATGCATAACAGGCAACACTTTCTCCTATATTCAATAAATAAGTAGGCCTACACACATTTTCGAGTTCTCTACTAAAAAAATGTAATTACCTCCGAATCTCAATTTTAAGACAAATGAAACAAACAAATACATTTAAAGTTGTAATACATGTAATTGTAGAACTATAAGTAAATTTCCTACAGTACAATGTACATGAATTTGAATAAGATAGGCCTATCAGTATTTTTTAAAACTATTTTTAATTTCCTCGTTTCTCCCCTTTCAGCGATGGGACTTCACCAGGCACTTTCTCAGATCTGGAGCTCCATGTGATCTCGCAGAAGATCCCCCGACACCACTGGGAAGAGTTGGGCCTGCGTCTTGGATTCACAGGTGTGCAGCTTCAATGCTTTCGTGACGACAATAAACATGAGTCACCACAGAGGGCGATATACGACATGCTGCATCAATGGAAACAGATCAATTCAGGCGGGGAGGAGCAGCGAGAGGTTCTGGTACAAGCCCTGCTTGATACACGGTTGAAAGAAGTAGCAGAATCCATAATTGATGGTGAGATATTATACTAAATCGATGTTATTTATCAATAATATAATCGATTTGATGATAGGACATCGGCAAGAAAGCATTTCTAAAGGAAGGCAATAACTACACATCAAAATAGTTATTATGATGTACATTTTGGATATAGCATTAACAAGTTTAAATTGGTAACATCGGGAAACAAGAAAGTAAACCAATGGAATGTCAACTTTATCCAGTTTTTAGACACTTTTTTTTATCTCTTTTAGATTCTTGGTGTAGCCAAGTAAAGGAAGGGGGGGGGGGCTGTTGGACCAAATTTGTCGATAATGTTACTGAATTGAAAGCTGGATTGAAATCGTCATTAAAGACATTGTTGAAACCTTGTGAGGAGAATTTCCGTAAACTCAGTACTACTACATCCTATCTTTTGGTGACAAGCTTAGTTGGGACCCCCCCCCTCCCCCCACTCCGTGGACAGAGGGATACCATGCGTGTTCCCAAACTCTCCAGCTCGTAACAAAAGAAAAAGGTCTACCCGTATTGACTTTACACACCGGACTTTTGCTGAAAGGGGGGGGGGGGGGGTGCTGAAAAAGGCTCGTATAACAAAAGAAAAAGGTCGACCCGTATTGACTTTACACACCGGATTTTTGCTGAAAGGGTGGGGGGGGGGGGGGTCGCCGGGAACACGCATATGCGTACCCTAGATAACACTGTGGGGGGGGGGGCGGGAGTTGGGACGTTTGCCCTGCATCTGTAGGCCTATTTTCTAAATGTTTTAATAGTGCTAATTCCATTTCAACAGGAGTAGTCCCGTCGCACTCACTTGACTTGGATATCGAGCAGCTGAGAAAGGAACTGATCCAGTTCTACCTGTCGGACATGTGCAAGATCAAGTTCATTCCTTGGGATGATGAATCGTACATTGACCTCCAGAAGTTCTACGTCCGGCTGTCCCTTGTCCTTCAGGATTCCAGCATCATAGTGAACGGACCAAAGACACTTCGGCCCCTCCAGGACTCTCATGATGGCATATTCTCTTTGGCTGGTAATAGTCAGTCCGAAAGCAGGCAACCAATGAGATTGCTCTTAGAGGGTGAAGCAGGAATGGGCAAGACGACTCTGATTGCTAAACTGGCCTACGACTGGGCAACACAAGCCGATTCCTCACCGTTGAAAGACATCCCATTGTTCATCGCCATCCCTTTCAGGGAGTGGAAACCCGAATGGACTATCGGGACTGCTGTCCGAGAATGTCTCCTGGCATCGGACAGTACAATCACAGCTAGGCAGATTGATCACTACATTAAGACGAATCCTGAAGCTACAAAGGTGGTCCTAGAAGGATACGACGAAGCCAAGCTGAGCATTAACGATAAGAAAGCTTCTGGTTACATTGGCCGTGTCCTGCGGAACGAAGAGCTACGCGAAACTCAGATCCTTGTTACGACCAGACCATGGCGAGTAGTGGACTTTAAAGGCTTTATTCGTACTTACACCAGGATTGAAATAGAAGGGTTTCAGAAGGAAGAAATAGACAAGTATGTCAAGTTCTTTTTCAAGGGGCAGGATGATAAGGAAGAGCACGTGTTGAAGTATATTTGTGAGCATCCCGTGGTATCTGGGTTTCTGTCAGGAATACCGTTATTTACAGCGATGCTTTGCGAGTTGACCAATGAAGTCCAAACCACTGTTGATGATCTTGATGAGTTTAATACCTTAAGTGATCTCTTCAGGTATTTCACGAGTTATCTATGGGGCCAGTACAGTACGAAATCAAACTATGCACGATCCCACGAGGAGAGTGAAGAGGCATTAACCAAATTACTCCTACATCTAGGGAGAGTAGGTCTTGACGGTCTTTTCAGTCCTGACAAGAAATTGTTGTTTGATTCATCGGATTTCATATTCGCCGAAGGAGAAGGAGAGGAAAAGTCGTATAGTCAAGATGTAGAAGAAATGGCTTGCAAGGTTGGTATTCTTTCCAAGCATCGCAGGCAAATCCAACTGAAGAACAAAGTCAGACAGAGAACTGTCACATCATCTCATGCCGTATCGTTCTTTCACAAACTTAGCCAGGAGTACTGTGCAGGTATTTACTTAGCACACCTAGCCAAAACAAATGGAACAACATTCAGTAATTATCTTCGGAAAATATGTAGCCGCACGCAACTGCTCGAGTATAAGAATGTTCTCCTTTTTGGCTGTGGGGAGGGAACACATTCTGCTCGTTTGATTCTTGATCATTTGGCTGCTCTACAAGAAAAGTGGGTATACTTGTGGGACACTAATAACAACGCATTGGAGATTGCTTTTCTTTGCAACTTGGAGAGTAAGAGTGATGGTCAACTGAATACCAATCTGAGGAGGTTCTTAAAGTCTAGTAGCTTGGACGTGTTCGTATCACCGTATCAACATGAACCGCACATTTCTGTGGCATACAAGTATATGTTGTCCTCCGGGAAGTCTTTGCCGATGGAGGATTGTGACCTTTCCATCTCTAAAGAGAAAGACCTTCACATCTTCTTTGACTTCATGTCCTACAAGAACGCAACTTCTCTTACTGGACTTAAGCTTGATGTATCAAATCTCAAAGAAGAATCATATCTGCGATTCTTGGAATGTCTGCAATCGTTCAACCATCTGTGTAGATTGTCCGTGTCAGTCAAAGGATCAACCAACATCAGCAAGCTGGACAAAGCACCAGAATCATGTGTCTATCCAACCATTCGAAATTTGACACTACAAAGCCATTCCATGGATTCACTTGCTGAATATCTAGCATTTACATGTGATCGATTCCCGAATGTTGAAGACCTGACAATTGACAAGGCATTGGTTGGAATCTGGTCACAGATGGAAAGGCAGAATAGATCCCTCGTATTCCTGAAACGACTAACCATCACCAGCTTAACATGCGGGGATCAGTCTATGAGCGCCTTGTTCAACAAGATTTCCCACACTTGTCCAAACCTCGAAGAATTCAACGTGAGCGTTGGCGACAAAGAAGTTCATCTAGAACTACAAGACAAAGTAAAGAAGATGACACAGTTGGGATGTTTAGGCTTAACCCTAAAACATGTCGCTAATCCGCTCTCCTCCAATGATCTGATGACCTTTATTGCATCACATGCGCCATCACTGAAGGAACTCAGACTCGATACTGGTGTATCCTATGGACCTGTCAGGACGACTGCGGGCGTCCCAATGTCAGCAATTAATGACTCCGTTGAATGTGCCACCCTAAGAAATACCTGCAAGAATGAGGAAGACCTTATGCAAATCCTGCTGTATTTTCCGAATGTCAAGTCTTTGAAAATGACCTCCTGTGAACCTTTCCGACAGTGCACCAGACAGATTTCTACCGAGGTGCTTGTAAAACATGTGGTGACTGAACTGGAAGTGAATTGTTCTTCCATGGACTTCACGAATACCTTACCGAATCACTTCGTGATTACGAATAGCCTTCAGAATTCAGAACGTACCACCCTCTCCTTCCTTTCATCATTTCAGAGTTTAACATCGCTCTCTCTTGTCAATCTGCCATTCCGGACACTAAATCTAGGAGGATGTCCAAACATGCCGAATGTTCGCCACCTCCAGCTTCATGGATTCTTCCTGCAATGCGCCAGAGGTCTTCGCCCTTTCTTCAACAGTTTGCCAAACCTAGTGTCATGTCAAGTACCGTTCTCTGTCAACGATGACATCATTGGGGACTTGAGCGAGTCCCTCCGCGAAAGAAACAATCTTCGGCTTCTTGTCGTAGGTATGGACGCTGGTATCAAGGAGAATGTTGGCAAGATGGTCGAAGCGATCGCCAGCCTCCCATCTCTTGAACACCTCGTCTTCCATATCAATTCGTTACACGACACGTTGCTTCACACGCTAGCCCTGGCCCTGCCTGTCTGGACCAAGCTGATTTTCCTTGGGATACACCCATACCAGATGAGGGATCAGACTGAACCCGTCGGGTTTGAAGCCATGTGTCCCTTTGCCGATGCTTGTGTGATCCACGATCAACTGTCAACCGTTGACCTTTCCTTGTTGCAGCTCACCAAAGAGACCGCACTGAAGGCCCTTGGGACAGCTTCTTCGGCATTCGGTTCACCTGGACAGCTTTCGTTGAGGTATGTATAGCTTCTCGTTACAGAGGTGTATTCCTGAAATTTAATTTGCATTTAAACACAATCCAGTACATGTTTCTAGCCATTATGAAGTGCTGCATGCATCTCTGAAATGGACTATAATATGGCGTCCAAGAACATTTTACATCTAGAAATAAAACCATCCTATGGAATGAGATTAGATATGTTGATAAATAAAGGCGCCGGAAGCGGAGGGGAAGTTTAATGGATATTCCATTTTATGTTCAAGGTCCGTAGGACACAATGAAAATCTTCGCCTAATTAAAATCTACCGAATGTTCTTCTTGGGAAATGGACATGTTACTCCTGATCATTGAACATTCTTTTTAATGACTGAAGAATCTTAATTTCATTCCGATTGTGTTTGCCAGGTTAACAGGTCCTCACTTACCATGTGATTGGGAGGTGTACACTGCAGTAGACACGGGCAGAGACGCTGGCTATGTTACGTTGGTTCCACCTGATACAAAGGTGAGTTACATTTTAAAAGCATTGGTGTAGCATAAGGGGTACCAAGGGGAGGAGGCATCGGTGTCCTAAGTTAAACAAAAAATGTGGTTGAGAGGGATCTCCTTATTTACCTTGTGCCCCATCGTTTCTCTTTTGTGTGTGTGATTTTTGTTTTTTGTTGCCAGTGAAGTATGTTCTGCCACGCCACTAACCTATAAGATCATGTTGTCATCAGACTTTATGTGACGGTTTTGCAATGTAATTAAAATTGAAGGTTGGATCGTATGTATAACAAAACTATTTTTCAAATGCTCCTCACATTTCACTTCTAACCACGACTGTATCCTACACCCTTACCACTCCTCTCTGTCTGTCTGTCTCTCTCTCTCTCTCTCTCCCTCTCCCTCTCCCCTCCCCTCTCTTTCTCTCTCTCTCTCATTACAAGATGAGGTATGGAGAGTTTCATGGAGGAGCCGGACCAAAGGTGGGCATGAATCTTTGCGGAGTTTCTCTTCAAACAAATGCTAAAGGTATGATTTTTTTCTTCTGCTGTTAACTTTAAATAATCTTTTAAAACCACAACTGTGTCATTTAAAGAGCGGTAAGTCCATAAACTTTGCAAAGAAAAGGAAAGAAAAAGAAGATCTGAAGTAGAAGAAGTAGAAGGAGAACTTCAACACCAAGGAGAGGAAGACTGAAGACTGATGTCGTGCTATTTTCTGTTCACATCGGCTCTCACTGAAACTAAAAGAGTAGGTTCTCAGTGTAAGTCAAATATGTTGTCCTGTTTTAATTGTTTTAAATGTTTCCTTTTCATAACCTGTTATTATTGTGTTTATAGTCTGTGTATATCTGCCGTCAATATACTCTGATATCATTCTTAGTTGTTGTGTACATAAATCCCTTTTCCCCTCAAAGTCAGCTCCGTAATTTCTAATCACCACCCTAAAATAATCTACACATAAAAAATTTCGTCAAACCCTGGACCAATACAAAATTTTAAAAAATGTGCTCCACCCGCCCCTTTTTTTTAGCGGCTGGCTGATTCGTTGCGAAATTTTCGGCGCTATTTTCAAATTTAAAAAAAAACTCTTCGAAAAATTCCTGCGTACGCGCCTGACCTCAGGATGTATATTTTGTATTTCTTTTAAATTCGAATCAGCTCCATATAATATCTAGCCACAATTAGAAGTTTCAAACACTTACCGGATAATTCATCGAGATCAACAAGACATTTGCATGTCGCCCTCTTTAGGCTCATGTTATGTTATGTTATGTTTGGGTTGGGTTTTCTCTCTCTCTCTCTCTCTCTCTTTCCTCTCTTTCCTCTCTCTCTCTCCCCCTCTCTCTCTCTCTCCCTCTCCCTCTCTCTCTCTCTTCTTTGTTGTTGAGACATATAAATGCACATAATGCGACATCAAATTTAATGTTTCATTTCTATTTTTCTCTCTCTTAAAGAGAATATTAAGTTCTGGGAAGAGGTGAAAACAATAATTTGAGACCGTTTTCATTGTTATACATGTTCGTTCGTCCTTAGATCAAGACTAATACACAATTCCAAAATTAAATTAAATTAAATTAAATTAAGCGCTCTATATAAGCCGAATATTATTATTATTATGCAAGTGTGGAAGAACATCAGAGAAAAAATGTTCCCTGAAAAGCAGGGCTCTTCAAATGCCTTCATATTCTTAATATGTTCGTGTAGTCCTATACACATTTTTCTGTGTACAGTGCTTGTTACTTTTACCAAGACTGAGCCAAATTTCTTATCATTTTGATAATTCCACACTGTTTCTTTTACAATCGCATGACCAGAACTCAACTTTATCTTTAAAATTATTATTTTGATATCTTGCTGTTCTGTGCTTTTATTTATGTAAATTCACATAAATAGTAACTGAAGGGGGGGGGGGGGTAAAGGAGATTTCTGTTCTTTCTTGAGTTTTAATTTTTAAGAGACATAATTAAAACAGCGGATATTGTATCCATACCTTGCAATCATTAACAACTCCATCGATTAATTAATTTTTTCATTGATTTTTACCTGTTCCTTTTAGACGTCATGTACTGGCAGTCCATTGGATGTCCCGATATCGACGCCATCTTCGGTGACCACGATGACGTCATCAAGGACGACGTCAAAGACGACATCAATACCAGTATACCAGAGCAATAAACCAGCAGTTCTTTGCTATGTGCATTTCATAGTTCATAATGACGTGAAGTGGTCTTGCTTTAAAGCCCGTCTGCACTACTTTGGCCAGGGGGTTCGACCTCCCTGCATGGTCACTCACAGGTGGTTATTTCATCAGATCAGCTCTCAATAATAAGAAAGGGGGCCATGGGAGACCACCGATTAGGCATTATTTGCTATATAGAGGGCGCAAGTAGTTATAAATAGTGCAGTGGGGCTTTAATTGACTGAAATCGTCCATACTACAGTAGCTCATTCTGGCCGAGCCTTGTACAACATCAAGGAGCCAAGGAAACTGAGGGGTGAGGGACTGCTTTTGCTCCTTTTTGTTAAGTTTATCTTCCATGTACACTTTTGCAATTTTGCGATTTGTTATATTTTTCAGGAATGCAAAAACAATTTTTATTGTAAATTCTTTTAATGTGATGTTTTATGATGAATTTTATACTGTTATGTATATATTTTAGAGCATGTAGGCCTTACTCAAATGTCCTGACTTGTATTATGATTGTATTAATCTTCTATGTATGTACATCCTTAGCTCATTTGCCATTTGTTGTGTGTTTTATCACTTATTCGGATATATTATTACTGTTTTAGTATATGTAAATATAGAGCACGTAGGCCTATGCTTTTAGTCGTTAAGTAGAGACTGAACTTGTTTGTACAATGTTTTTATACACGAGATTACTTGAACGAATTGCTTAGATGGTGGCATACTAGATTTAATAAAGAATTTGTTTTAATTGAAAGACGAGGAGATATTATTTGGGATACAAGACAAACAGCATGTTCTATTCAATCATTGTATTATCATTGCAAAGAAAACATTATTATCTATGTAGGTTCTCATCAAACACTTAAAAAGTATAGGCCTATATGCAAACCATTAACTAGCACATGAAAAAGTGAAAAAGTTTCTTATTGCTCATTATCTTAAATCCATCAACAAAATAAATTCTCCTCGTTTACCCATCGTTACAAAACTCGATAATTTTCTGTACTGTTTACTTTTTTTTGCTTCCATTTATTGAAACGTTGATTATAACCTTCCATGACCTGGTATGAATACACGTATGAATAAAGAGTGGCCTACTTGGGATACTGAATAAACACTGTCTTCTATACAAACATTTCAAGGCTCTGACTCGCAGGCCCAGGTTTAAAACCAGCTGGCTGATCTTACTTTCACATTCTTACTGTCCGAACCTTGAGAGTCTTCTCATTCTATTGTATCCCAAGTTGGCCACTCAGTATTCAAATTTGTATTTCTTTTCTTATTTAAAATCTTTATATATCAATTTGAAATCCAACTACCACATAAGTCTGTGAATATTGATGTGCATCCCCTCTTTCTTTTCTCTTCTTTTTTCTGTCTTTTCCCCCTTTTTACCAATATTTTGTTCTTCCATATTTGTATTATTATGTATCCTTTGAGGGTAGTCATACTATCAAGCTTTGCTTATTTTGTCAACCCTCCTGTTTGATGTTCTCGATTAGTTACACCCAGCCTTACCTTATTCTACATATATTCTTTTGTCATGTGTAAATTTGCAATATTTGTTTGTTATATATTTGTAAAAATGCAAAAGAAAAAGAAAATCAAACAGAAATAAATAAATCAAATCAAATCAAATCAAATTAAAAGAGAACAGGAATACTACTATCTGCCCATTTGAAATTTTTTTTAACGTTTGACTTTTTGCTGTTTAAATATTATAGTTTTAATTGCGGCTTCAGAGTGATCTCCCCCAAATTTGAATGGTTTAAGACACTCATTAAACCCAACAAATATTTAGAATATAGAATAGCTAAGAATTCAAAAAGACTTACTACTCACTTTTGAAAGTGGAGGATACACTTTAACTGACGTTTAGATCATGTTTAAACAATAATTATTGAAAGACATGTTCTTATACCATTTCCATTGCGTTTGTTTATATTATATTAATTTCTATTTTGCCACCTACCTTAAATAATTATGATGTTTATATATTGCTCACCGTGATTACTCTTTGGTTTTGATCAATAAAAACTTTTAAAAAATAGCACACGAATATTTGTATCAATACTTTTTTTAGAATGCAAATACGTCGTCGGATCTCCAGATAAATGCGAGGTCATTCAGACTGTCGTAAGTATATATTTATTCGGGGGATTGTGGGCTGAAGGTTTTCGTGCATTCATTTTCTATATGTGACTCGCTTAAATTCATATATAATCAAGAAAAAGTGGGGAGGGGGTCGTGAGCCCCCGAGCCCACCTCTTGAACCGTTACTTAATAATGGGCAGTAGTCTCATTTTGACGGGTACATTTTGTAAGCGACGATGGGAAGCATAGGTTAAATAAGGGCACTTTAAGGGGGATTTTTTTTTTTAATGGAAAACTGATAATTATCAAAAGTAGGAACGGAAACTTATCATATAAAACAATAATTGAAAAGAGGCACTCATAAGAGGTGAAAATGGGCACTTATAAAAAGGGAAAAGGCACAATGAAAAATATAATTTTCAACGTAAAAGGGGTACTTATTAGACATGAAAAGGGGCACTTATCATCAGGGAAATTGGAACTCATTAGAAAGCAAAAAATGGACACTAAGAAGGGGAAAGGGCAACAGATGAGTGCACTTGTTAAAATATGGGTCACTTATATCATATTCGAATAGGGACACTTGTTAAAACGGAAATGGGCCACTTGTCTAAGGAAAAGGGGAATTTATCAGAGGTGAAAAGGGGCATCCGTACATAGGGGGTGCTCAAGGAAAAGGTGCTGTTCAAGGGGAAAGGAAGACCTATAATAATCATGAATGAAGAAACATAGGGGCACACTTTCCTTAGTAAAAATGGGCTCTTTACTGTATTTAACAAAATCTGGGGGGGGGGGAGGAATGTGCCCCGTTGGATCATCCCACCTACCGGAGGGGGGCCTCTGCATAAACGTTTTTTTTTTGGTGATCCTATATATATGGACAAAAGTAAAACCGTTACTAATGGTCCATGCTATACATCCGACGCGATTTTCTATGGCGCGCATATTCCGCCATCTTTAACGTTAGATGGCGACGTCTAGATTTTGAATATAGAGATATTGAGCTCCATTACGATACATACAAATTATTATTTAACAAAACAATCTTGTTTGCATGGTGTTTTGATAATTTTGTTTTACTTGTATTGTTGGCCTACTTCACAAATCGTCTAGTGGACCCCCCGCTTAAAAAAAAAGAGTAAATTCATCTTCTTGATAAGTGAACCTAGTTGTTGTTGTTTTTGTAGTTGTATAGTGTAGTAGTAGCAGCATTAGAAGTAGTAGTAGTAGTAGTAGTAGTAGTAGTAGTAGTAGTAGTAGTAGTAGTAGTAGTAGTAGTAGTAGTAGTAGTAGTATAGTTGTTGTTGTTGTTGTCAGAGGCGGTGGAGTGACGGAGCATTTATTAAAAGTGAAAAAATGTATTTATGAAAAAGGAATAGATTCCTTATTAGAAAGGAAAAGGGGCACGTATCATTGTTAAAAGGGTAATTATCAGAGGAGAGGTAAAAAGGGGCACTTATTGCATCTAAAAAGTGGCACTGACCATATATGAAAAGAGGCACTTATGAGAATTAAAAAGGGGCACTATTAAAGGAAAATGTGCATTTGTTGAAAGAAAAGGGGCACGGTCAGATTTTAATGGGAAGGGGGAAGTGGCTTATATTAAAAAGAAAAAGAGGCACATGTTAAAGTAAACGGGGCACTTATCAGAGATGAAAAGGGATAATATTATGAAAAAGGAAAGGGGCAATTATAAGAATAAAAAAGAGCATTTATTAGGAAGGAAAAGGGGGACGTGTCGAAATAAAAGGAGCATTTATTGGAGATGAAAAGAGCACTTATCAGGAGGGGAGGGGCACTTATCAAAGTAAAACGATAATCTCTCAGAATTGAATAGGGTCATTTACACGAGATGAAAAGGGGCACTTATAAGAATGAAAATGAACTATTTTCATAGGTAACAAGGGGCATTTATGAGAAGGGGAAGGGGCTCTTTTTTAAATGGGCGCACTTATCATTAGGAAAAGGGGCACTTATTAGAAAGGAAAGGGGCACATGCGAAATTTTTAAGGTGCGCTTATCCGAGTTAAAAAAGGGGTAGTTATTAAAAGGGGAAGGGGCACTTCTTACAAAGGAAAAGGGGCACTTGTCAAAGCAAAAAGGGTACCTCTCAGATTTGGATAGGGCAATTATCAGAGATGAAAGGAGGGGTTATCAAAAGTAAAAAAGGGGCGCTTCTCGTACCTGAAAAGGGGCACTTACTAGAGATTAAAAAGGGCACTTAGGAAAATAAAAAATGGACACTTATTGCAAAGGAAACTGGGAACTTGTCGAAGGAACAGTGGCACGTGTCAAAATAAGAGGAGCACGTATCAGAGATGGAAAGGAGAAGGGGCACTTTTGGGGTACTTGAAAAAGTGGGAGGGGTGCACTGTGCCACCCCCCCCCCCCCCGAGCCACGCCCCTGGTTGTTGTAGGTGGTAGAGCAGTTTTATGGCGACTGTCCGTTGTTCGTCGGAGAGGTTGGGTTCCGGACAGATGATTTCAAACAGTAAATTGAGCAACTTGTCATACTATATTTCAGACACACGAGACCCACCCCGGTTTGGTGAGAGATCGTTTTGAGAGGTCTTGTATTGTTTTGTCTTTTTTTATTTCCATGGCATTTCTAAGTTCTTATTATTTCTACAACAATGATGATAATAATGATAATACATTTGTAATAATAATAGTAATACAAATAATTAAAATTATAATAACATGGAATTGCTCTGGGATTTTTATATCCAGACATATCGAGAGATCCAGGCCTGGGCACCAATAGTAGTGGTGGACAGAAAAGAGAGCCAATGCATCATAATTGATGTTGAGCTGTGTCTGGTGATCCTAGGACAGCTGAGTAAGAGAAGGAAAATATTGAAAAGTATGAAGACCTACACAGAGTTGGTACATTAGGCATGATCACATGCAAGCAATCATTCCTAAATATCTGAAGAAGATTGGGGTTACGGGTTACCACAAAGAAAGTAGCTCTGCTTGGTACACTATTACGAAAAGTCCTTGAGGCCTATAGGCTACGGGTTGTAGCTTGCCCTTTAATATAGTATGCTAATAAAAACCAGCATAGATCAAGCTGACGTATTGATGATAATAATAATAATAATAATAATATAATAATAATAATATAATGATAATGATATACTCTAAAAATAATAATAATAATAATGATAATAATAACAACAACAACAATACTGATAATAATAATAATATTATTATTAACAAATATAAGGATAATAATATCAATCAAATTTCAATATTAGCTTCGGCTTCCGTTATAGCAAGGTTATTTTGGAGCCCAATCTAAATATTGTTGTCATCGTTAGTTTTTTAACTGACTCGAACGTACGTACATAGGTGGGGTGTGTCCCGCAGGACGCTGAGAAACAAATAGCACTTGCGGGCGTGTAATTTGCACATGACTACATTGAACGAACGTAAACAGTCTGACGATCTTCTATCTGTAAGGTTAATTTTGTGGTCCTGTAACTCTCGCTTTATATATTAATTTGAATACAAGGTTTCTGAATATGATGGCGCCAATATGATATTGTAGAAACATTATATCCTCGGGAAATTCATTGGAAATGCACGATAAGGAAAGGTATTATCACGGAGAATCCAGCGAACAGCAGCACAAGATGACGGACGGGGCAAGCAACGAGAGTCTGTTGAGTGAAGATTTGGTCGACGATGAAGGGGAGGATGATGATGAGTTTGATGATAATGCAGAGGAGACAGAGAGGGAAGATGAACTCGAAGAAACGATGAGTAAATGGACAAATTACATTCATGGCTGGCAGGATAGATGGGTTGTGCTGAAGAATGGAACATTGTCATACTTTAAGTCGAGACACGAGATGCAATCGGGATGCAGAGGATCGATGAGTTTGGCAAGAGCCGTTATTGAGGCAAGTATGGCTCTCTAAGTCGAGTCTCAGACTAAGCCTTAATGTAACTGCAAAGGCAAAGGACCTAGATCTATGTGATAATATTAAATATGATATCGATATCTCCTAGCCTTAATTGGCACCCATATCCTGGCCCTGTGGGATGTAAACAAATCCTAAAATTTTGGGGGTAGACTAATCCGCATCTTTCCCCGCACCTGACGTACCTTGCAAAGTGAAAACTGCTATCGGAGTTCGCTAGTGCAAATTTATTACTTGATGTAGACTATGACTGAGGGGGTGACAAAAGTGCGCTGAGATTTTGAAATTATTAGGACTAGGAGATTTAATGCGATATACTCGCTGATCTCCGAAAAGCGTAGGGACAACAACAGAGAGAGAGATCTGAGATTTCTCATATTTCATTAAAGTATTTTAGTTCAATTATTACCAAATGGAAGACAAAGTTTTTTACTACAAATTAATTCTTAGGTCTAGACTACATGTAGATCTAGTCTAGTTTCAAGAAATTTATCGTTCCAAGAATTCCGGAGATGGCGCAATCTCAAAATTCGATTTTGGATGGCCATTTTAAAAAAAGTCAAGAAAAAAACAAACCGTATTTCGCGCACAGGAGTTTACAGCTGATTTATTTTTAAAAAAACGATCCATCAAATGTGAGATAATTTCATAATTTGCAAGGCAAAATATTACCCAATTAGTTGGTATCACTTTTTACTTACATTTTTGATGACATCTTCACTTGATATTAAAGGGAGTGTATCATGGCAAATGCTGGTTAACGCCGTCTACGTCTTCTTTTGGACAACTGCACGTAAACAAATGGGACTTGATTAACTGGGTCAGCGCACGCTAAACTCGGTCAGTGCACGCTATAGTGTTGGCGAAACAGACCAAAGTTCTCCTCACGCTTCGGTTTCGCATATGTTGCACGCACGTGAATGCTAAAGGTGTGGTCGTCTGTAGTCATATTATACCCGATTGGCCCCGGGTAGGGCCACGGGAAAAACACATACCTGTAGTCTCGTCATGACACACTCTCTTTAAGCTTCATATTAGATTTTGTCCAGAACGGACGCAAAAAACAGCATAATTGATGTTTAGAGTTTTGACAATATTTTCATAATCATTTTCCACACCCAATTCCAAATAAAATTGCCTCTACACCCTGTACAGTAAGTAATTTTAGGTTTCTCTTTCCATTAGTTGTATCAGATTTTCGAAATCTATCCGATTTTTTGAGATAGCGATCTTAAATTAGGCCACGGGTGAATTAAAGTCACACCACCATACAATATTAAATAGCGATTACGGTAGTGTAAAAAGGAGATCAGAATAAGTTTTGCTAAATTCAGCAAATTCCATTTGTGCGCCTAATACATTATAAAGTACATTATAAAATGGCTCTAGTATTTTAAGCATCGTGATTGGTCAATACGCGTCACATGACATTGACAAATTTTTGATGCAAGCACGATTTTGCAGAAATGAGTGCAGAAAAAAGCGCAGTAAAAAGTTATATTGCACGGCGCGTACGCGTGACCATGGAGATCCAGTGCGCGCGCGTACGCGTAGTACTAGTACGCTCCCTCGAGTGCATTGTAGGCTATAGGCTACGCGTAGCTAATATTGTACGCTCCAAGATCCACCATGATCCCCAGCGCAGCGTACGCGTAGCTTAGCTCTCTAGCTAGAGCTAGAGCGGGGTATTATTAGAAAGCAAATTTTTGTTTTACTTTTGCCTTGAATTTAGACCCGTTTTGACTTTTGGATTTTATAATGAAGCCAGGAATTTCAGCTGTCTGATGTAGACTCGTCTCTAGACACCCTATGCATTTTATTTTAATCAAACAACGAATCCCGTGGAATTTTTGGTAAGCCTGCAAGGTCTTACTCTTAGACCCTCATTTTATTTCTAGAACCAACATAACTCTAGATCTAGATCGAACTCTGGTACACTTAAGATCTAAACTTTTGTTTGTTGCTGTTTGTGTCGCTATTTTATAAAACAAATAACGCACTTGACCCTGTTGTGCGAAACGTAAATGCAGTGTTCGCTCGGTTTCTTCAGATGGTTCGCACTGCCAACTCGCCGCAAGCGGCTCATTGCACAGAGCGGCACCAATCTAAAGAAACCTCGCGCGTACTGCATTCACCGCTATTGCACTCTGGGACGTGCGTTATTTGTATATTAACTAATCACTATCAGATCATCGTAAAGTAAGTTTTGCAATCATTTATTAGTACAGTACATTGTATATTACGTTGACTCGATGGATACATGTACATGTACATGTAGGTTACTGGTCTGTGATTCTGCGAACCACAGGATAAAATCCTTAAAATGCTAGTGTGCCATAATGGCAGCTGTGTAATAAGTCGGGGGAACACTTGTGGAGTTCTAGGAGTGTCAAGTCTGACAGAGAAAAGCGCTATTCAAGAACCTGCTACGCTCTATATTTTGTGCTTAAATTTTATTTGGCATAAAAAAGACTTGGAAATTATGTGATATTGATGTTGTTGGTTGTAATTTTTGTCCAAATAGAGATTGACTTGTTTTTGTCAAATGACCACTCACTTATACATGTTCATACATGTATAGTTAGCTGTGTCTTCAATCAAGTTTTTCCTTTTTTCTTAAAGTGAACCAACAAATGAAAAAGAAAGCTCTGGATTTTTTACTACTACTGATAGACTTTTTTTATTACCGGTAGTCATTTTTTTGTAGCATGACTCCATCAGTAGTTAAATACTGTTTTCCGTGGAGGCCCTATGAGTTTCACTTTGGATTACTTTCATTTATGAAACCATCAAGGGAATTAACTCACCAGTATTATTTTCAGCTGTTGGCTACTAAACTAAATTTGTGAGGTCTACATGTAGATAAGTAGATAATAAATTGGCTTGAAATGAACTTGGTTGGTTTTCTCTTTCATTTTGCTATGTATTTTTGTATTTGCCAGTCAAAACAATTGCAGCTATGAAAAAACTTTTCTGTAGCCTGTAGGTCACTTTGATGGTACAGTGGTAGAGCAGTGGTCTTGAAGACTATCTTATAATCTTGAAATCTTGAAATCCTGGGTTCTTAATTTTTCTAAACCAAGTCAATGTCCAAATGCTATTTACATGTAGTAATTCCCAAAGTTCTACCAAGTGTCTCAGGTAGGACGTGTAAACCGTATGTGTAAGGTTTGGCATTAAAAATGGACATAGGAAAATGGTGCATATACAAATGGGAGAAACAATGACCAAATACCTGGACTGAACTATAGTATAGTTGCTATTTGCTTGCTACATGTATCTTAAGAGACATTAGATCTCAAATCAAATATCACCAACAAATCAATTGTCAAGAATCAATTCAGGTATAGTGCATACAAGAAGATGGATTTTCCTTAAATGAAAATACATTGTCAATGGGTTTATGCCAGAGTTTTCTCTGGGTAAGTTGTAGTAGTAACATGCTCAATTTCAAACTACTGTTTCATCTCAAATATGTGCATGTAGTATGATAATAATATAGGAAGTTGATTCTCAAAACACAATACAGCTGTACAAGAGAGATGTTATGTTGAATCTACACAAACAAGATGAAATGGCAAAGTCTCCAAACAAAATAACTTTCTAGTGCATGGTATACTTGTACAATGTGTTCTGTGAAACGTTAAATACATGTAACCCAGAATATTTGTAATGAATATCTTGTCATTACAAACTAAGTTATTATGACACTTTTTGTAATATTTACTGGTAGTCTGCCAGTGTTTCTCTTGTAACTGAGTCCATACAAGTCTGCGGCCTTGATCAAGTTCAGGTTACAGTTTTAAAAACAGAGGATGGAGTCTTACCTGTATCTCTGATCCTGTCGTGTGTAATTTTACTGTATTCATGTTCGTGTGTACATTGACTGTATATTCAACAATGATGTGTAATCGTCCATGACCTAGCATCGTTTATCCATTCATGAATGAACCTGCATTCAATCAGCAGATGTATGAGATTTATTGTATAATTACCAATGCTCCTTCTCTCTCCTTTCCTGTTCTTCTCTGCAAGTCACACTCTTTTTTATTTATATGTTTTATTGTTGTATCTAAGTTGAGGGCTGCGGGCACGTCAAGCTACTCTGCTTATTTCTGTAGCCTCCTGCATCTAATGTATGTTAATTATGCATTTAATATATTTGTTTAATCTCGTTTATTATCTGTATAAAATTATATACACTTAAAATATTGTATCAAACCATATTATGTTCATGAAAATGTATGATGAAAAAAAAGAAAAAAAGATGCAGAAACCAATAAATCAAATCAAATCAAATCAAATCAAATCATTATAGAGTAAAGTCAAGTCAGAGCTTACAAAATTACCAACTAAAAGTCTTGAGTCTTGACTGGAATCGAGTCTCTGACTTTAGTCATTTCAACTCAGGCATGGGGTATTGATGTTGGGATGAGAGGGGGGGGGGGACTGGGGAAAGGGGAATGTACCTGCTTTAACATTGAGCAAATGAGCAGTGATAAAAAGAAAATCCTATCTATTAATCTGTTTTATCAGGTTCATGTGTTTGATCATCTGAAGTTTGATGAGAGCATAAGTGACAGGGTGGTACCTTACAATAGTAGTGGTAGTGGTTATTTTACCTGACTGCTAAGAAAGCATAAATGCTTGTTAGTAAGCAACCAGACGGCCGTCCGCTTTAGGTCCTCTCTGAGGGACCTGGTAATGAGGATTAATGCCTTTCCAAAGGACACTTGCGCATCGATTTGGTTTCGAATTTGGATTACGAGACCACTGCTCTACCGACTGAGCTATCGCGCCTCCTCCATAGAGTGAAGTCCAGAGACTCCCGTCAGAGATGGATCGAGTGTATAGAGTACCTAGCTGTGATAACAATCCCTTTCCTTCTTTTCTGTGATCAGGTCCATGAGTTTGATCATCTGAGATTCGATGTGAGCATCAACGACAGTGTATGGTACCTTCGAGTGAAGTCCAGAGACTCTCGTCAGAGATGGATCGAGTGTCTAGAGTCTCAGAAGGCTATGGCTGAAGCTGAGAGCACCAGTCTACAGAGACATGGTTCTATGGTCTCTCTACACTCAGGGGCTAGTCTTACATCATCCTCATCGTTCAAGGTCAGTCAAACATAAAAATCTTACCCTCTATAGGCACTTGTCAAATAAATTAAAATTGTCCCCCAAGGAGGATAACTTGAGGGTAATCCAAGGTTTATTGGGGTTGGTCAATTTTTGCTTTTTGCAGATTTGCACTACGCATTCCTGCCATTGTCTGATGACATTGAACTTTTTGTGAATTTCACTTTTCTTAGGTTACCATGGCAATGAAAACCTGATTACACCTGCAGCAATTGTTCTGCATCAATTTCTTGCCTTAACTGAATTCCTAAATTTAACAATGGACCCAACATGTAACCTAATTCCGATTGCAACCTGCTAGGAGTGATTATCATACATGTAGGAGTAAATTCTAGGTCGCCAAAAGTTTTATCACCATTCTATTCCTTAATCCTTTGAAACACATTGAAACACAGAACTTTGCCACTGCTTTCAATTCATTACTGTACCACTTCATTCTTTGCAAGGATTCAATGTATTCTCCTCTCTATAAAACATGAGTCAAGTTATATTTATGAATCCAGAACGGGAGAGAAATCATATTGCCCATTCTGTATTGTTCTAGAAGGGGAGAGGGTAACAGAGAAGTTAGCTGAGATGGAGACGTTCCGAGACATCCTGTGCCGTCAGATTGATACCATGCAGAACTTCTTTGACACCTGTGCAGAAGCCATCCCAAGAAATCTGCTAGAGGAAGCATGTGAGTATATCTTCTTATTTTTTATTTTTTTTTATTTTTTTTATCTTTTAATTTTTAATTTTACTGAATATGAATATCATTCAGAAGGTTATTTCTTTTCCTTAATTCCATAACTATCTCCTGTTGTACGCTGTAAGTACCTATTTTTATTAGTTGTATATTATACATTTAGGTTGTCACTTGTGCCTGGGAGTGAAAAGGCTATTAAATCACTTTGACCATCTGGTGTCTCCTCTTGATCTATTGGTCAGGATTTGAAGGTGCACAACAACATCAGGTTTCCCCATATTGACTGCAAATTCAAATTTTGAAGAAGGAATGTTACTTTAAATTTGTTTTTCTTTGTATGCTTTGTTCAATTTTTTTGTTTTGCTGTCTGTTGTCGTTTGTGTAATATCTTAGGTCATTCACAATGCATTTAATCCTGCCAAATGGAGGTAGCCTCCTTCCCTTAAACAAATGCAAATCTATGAATATTACACATTGTGCAGTGTGTACATAACGTTTGTTGTAGATGAGGACTGCAGTAATCAACAGTAGCCCCCCCCCCCCCTCCACACCTAGTTCATCATAGTTTTATTGAAAGGGGAGGAAAGGGGGAGGGGGTACCTCCTGTCTGATCCTGGTACCCAGGCTCTACATCAATGCGAGACAAATCACCCCAGTTTCACACCGTGTCTGATTGCATTTGACACATTCTCATTTATTAGAGGGACTCTACATGATCAGTCTATCTATCTATCCATCTCTCCCATCTGAAAGACTACCACCTGCTTCCATCTCTCTGTCTTTAATCTACGTTAACCCTTTTCGCGACAATCAGTCCACACCTTGTGGTTTGGCTCAAGAATGATTCAGAGCCCTAAAAAATATGCCAGATGCATGAGTAGAAAGGACACAGATTTCCACACACACACTATATCCATTTTAGTTTCATGACTATATTGTGTTTGATACCAGGTTTTTGTTAAAATAATCATTAAAGTCCTTAAATTGGCAACACATCAAAAGATTAAAAAGCAATGTTTTTTTCAACTTCAAAAAAATAGTAATTTTTTTACTTTCAACAATGTTCTCACCCATGTATAGTGTTCTAGAGACATTACATTTTATTACTCAATGTAGCAATAACAGAAAAATCTTATTGTTGCCAATTTAAAGAAGTTTATGCGATCCATTTTCCCCTAAATACAGTTTATCCTAACCTGAAAGGGATAAGCAGATGAATGTCATAGACTTAATAGTGCAGGGGCGGCCGGGCCTCATGCCTCAAGCAGGCAATGGTTTATTTCAGCATTTCAGCATTCTTTGTATATAAAGATGAAATGGAAAGTAGGCTGAAGAAACAATCTTTGTACAGTATATGAAGTGGCGTAGGATTTGATTCAAACGATTCTCCGTTGATTTCAGGACACAACAATAGTGATATATTCAGTAATCTTTGCAGGGGTATTTTCAAGGATTGATTCTATTATATGCTGCCTGAATAGGTATAGGGTGTATCAAGTTTTCAATGGGTGGTTTTCCTATCAGAGGCAAGGGGGTGTATCCTCAATACAGGGGACTTTTTGAGAATTTTTGACAAAGTTGAAATAATGTGCATGTGATATCTGGCAAGTCAGAGTAAGTTTTTTAAATTTGTATTTGATCTGATATAAATAACAGCTGCAAACACTTTGAACCTACCGGTACATGTAACACTCCAATATATATACCTATTAAAATACAGTCAAACCTGCTTTAGCGACCACCTGTATAGAAAGACCACATTTTTTGTTACCCTTGAAAATGGTTTCTCATTGAAACATGTACTAAAGAAACTTGTATATATATACATGTATATATATATAATATATATAAAGACCACCTGCCTTTGAAGACCACTTTTCTTGTTTCCCTTGGGTGGTCTTTATAGACAGGTTTCACATACAGAATTCTGATGGAATGTTCATAATGGAAGTGTCTTTAACTACATCTGGTTAGACTGCTTAAGAATTTTAAAAAAGAAGAAGACATTTTGTGAATTAGTTAACTTAATTGATTTCACTCTTAATTTCTTACGCCCTTTGACACTATTGTACACCAGTTAAAGAGTTGAAGAATATGAGGATGTACTCGGTGCATTTGAATTTGTTTCACCTGGTGGAGTGTTAGAGGTACATGTATGCAAGATGTGAATATTATCTACCCCCCCCCCCCCTGCATTAAAGTGGACAAGGGTTAGTGTGGGATCAAGAGGGGGGGGGGGGGGTGGGGTGGGGCTTTGGGGCTCATTCCAACGCCCCCAATATTCTTCTAGAACCATGCCTTACCAAGGAGAAGTAAGCAAACTTATCAAATCACTACACAAATACAGTGGAGATCTCTGACTTCTAACTGGGACAGGATATAAAATCACATTTCGACAACCATGAGTTTCATCCCAGAAGATGGTTAGGGGGTTCGGTTTGGGCCCCTGGGTCTGGAAGCAATTCCTGGAAAGTAACATGACCTTGACATTGACATTAAGACGATGATCTGCTACATGTTACACATACATACTGTATGAATTTCTAGCAAAGTTATGCCCACATCCGTAAAATACAATGAATTATGTTATATTGTATAAGACATGAAGTCATATATCAAAACTCGTTAGTGAGAGTTAAGAGGATTTCAGATTACAGTACCTATTGTACTGAAGGTTAGTTCAGCTATGGCGCAATAAACCGCCGCAAAAAACCCTAATGCTGTCGCTATTTTACCTGTATGCCAAATTGCCAACCCAACTGCGCACAAAAAAGTTATTAACAAAAATAACATTAAAGACAACTTCTGGGCCAGATTTTAACTCAACAGACTACATTACATACACCATGTCAATGTATGTAAGGATGGAATAGGGACTACTGTAAGTATTGAGTATTATCCATAAATGTTATCCTTGTCAAGTGATACTGTCAGTGTCCTGTAAACTTCCTTGTTTCCTTAGAGAGTGAGTCGCTTTAACCTTTTCAATACTACTGGTAGTGTGTTGTGGAGGTGTCCTGGTATAGTGGTTCATTTACTTGACTCTCAATCCAAAAGGTTGAGGGTTCGAATCTCAGCCGTGCACTCATGTCCTTTGACAAAACATTAATACACATTTGGCACTTTCCACCCAGATTTAAATGGGTACCTGGCAATCTCTGGGTAATGATAACCACATGACCCTCAGAAAGAATAGCATTGAAGCTGATGAGGCTTCCCTGGGTAATCAAAATTATTTATTATTATAATTATCATTAGTAGTAGTATTATTGATAGTATTAGTAGTAGAAGAAGTAGTAGTATTGTTAAAAAAATTAAAAATGTGTTGTATAGAATACTTTCACACTTTAAGCAAATATTATATTTTGTTATGTACATCTCATCCATCTCTAAAATGACATACCGGTACACATGTAGTAATTTTTATTACCGGTAGATGTTATTAAATTAGCTGAGTCCAAGGCCATTGAAATGGCTAAATCTGTCTTCAACACTGCTAGTAGGATCTGATAAATCAATTGCCTGAGGCTAATTTTGTTGATGATTTTAAAATGAATATTTGACCTGATTGCTTGATTTTCTTGTATAGATGGAGATTATTCTGGTGATGATGATGAGAATGACCCTGTGACCCCTCGAGCGAATCATCATCATCATCATTATCCACCAGTACACACTGAGAATGGACCAACTACTCCTAAGGATAAAGGTAAGAGGATCCTGGACTTTCTGATTATCTTTCAGGATGTTGTAGGCAGTTATGTGGTTTGAGGCTGGCAGTGCCAAGTCACAAGGCCAAGTCACGAGGTGGCTGAAAAATATTGCAGGAGGCCTGTTTTCATCAGCTCCAGTTTGCCAAATAGCCCGCTGTTTCTGATTCTGGAAATTAGCCCGATCACGAAATAGAGGGCTATTTGGCTGGCAGGTGAAGAGGCTATTTGCTCTGGAAATCTTCCCAAGATATCTTGGCCTAGTTTGCAAAATAGCCCGCTGTTAGTCTGGTCCGTCTTAACCAGCCGAAGACTTGCACTACGCGCGAGCAAAATATCTCGAGCTAATTTCTTGAACTTGAGTTTCGAGTTTCAAACTCGTTCAAACTCAAGTTTCCAGCTGATAAAGACGTTATTTGAAACTTGAGGCTAATTTCCCGAATCAGAAATAGCGGGCTATTTGGCAGCCTCGAGCTGATGAGGACAGGCCTCTTCTGTAGGTCCACATGACTTGGTCCAAGGCCAAGGGCACTGAAAAGTGGCTTCAAGGCTAGATTGGTCTTCAACACTGCTAGGAGGATCTGATAAATCAATTTGGCTCCTGGCATAGGCCTGCAGAGTCAAAAATCCAAAATGTTCTTACCGGTACATCTTCCATTCAAATACTAATAATAATAAATCTGAATTTCATGATGTTCCCAAAGACCAAAAGCTTAGATCATGGTTACATGTGTGTAGGATCTGCTTGTTTACACTTCTAAACTTGATGGGGCTAATGGCTGTATGTAAACAGTAGGAGGGCTAAAGTGGGGGGGGGGGGGGGAGGGGGCAGTGGCATAGCCTTTCATCCGTTTCAGTGGTGTTTTAAGCTCAAGCCTTGATATTAAAGCACTGCATGTAAGGATTTAAAAAGTGTAAAGAACATCACATTATTTTTTCAAAATTTAACACGCCTTTTTTATAACAAGGAAGCTCTTCTGAAGTTCTGATATTTCAAACCATGTTGTTGCTTTTATTTCACAAAGACCAAGTCTCTTGTTATTATGATATGCTATTTATTCTCTAGATGTTCCTGGTACCGGTATACATGTATGTGGGTGGTTCTTTTGAAAGTGGTAACTTTAGAACTGTGCATATACTTCCACCACTCAAAATACAAAGAAAATTCAATAGACATGGAGCAAGTTTGTTTAGTACTTCTGTGATATATATAATCTTCAAATTCTTTCTGAAGGGCATTTCCATTGAACCTTAAGAGAAAAGCCCTTTCTGTAAAGTAGGTAACTTCTCATCACCCTTGCCCAAACTTGCAACAAAACATGACAATGCCCTCTGCCCATGACCACTCATTTTGTTATGATACCAGTGTTTCTGAATCATGTGATCTGTCTCCTCTTGCTACCCTGGCCTTTGCAATAGATAAAATATTGGGTCAATGTCGTGGAAGTGATAAAAATGTGTTACTTCAAGTCATTGCATTCTTCAATCACAATAATTGTATTATACAGTAGGCTTACGTTTGCACCAAGTGAGAGAGGGGGAGGATTGGGGAGTCCTGAAAAGGACTGAAAAGGACTGTCTGTAATCTTTCTTTCTTGAGTGTGTGTGTAGTCCTGAATAATTGTATTGTTAATGCATATATTTATGTACAATATACCAAAGTTTCTATATACATCGCAAATACAAGTCTCTTTTGCTACCATATTATTTTTCTGCAGTGAAAAATGAATTGTCTTCACCTTAATCATTATAACGACATGGTTTATCCTTGCAGTTTAATATCATCACATTGTTTAAGACTTGTACATGTCAATATATTTCTTTGATAAAGGAAATATGTCCTCGATAAAAGAAGAAGAAAATGCTGTTTGTTTGATACTTGATGCTTGTACAAGGAGGTGAACCTCAAATACTGTAAACACAACAGTCAACACACTAATCTTTGTCTTTTAGTGTTTATAAACAGAAGTTGAAATGTGAACTAGGCTCTAATGTGTCATTGAATTTTCACACGGTTTCTAAAGGACACAAGTCGCAAGTAAACACCACCCCCTTTACCCCTTTCCCCATTCACACATACACACATAAATGGTCAAAATAAATCTGGGAGTACAATACATTCTTAAACTCTCTCTCAATTTAGAAACTCCAAGAGTTCTTCTTTTGTTTGGTTCCTGGTAGAATGGAGGGTTTCTTTAAATATTGAGTGGAGTTGCTAGAATAATGCAGCCTAGCTACAAGAATATCAGCAATGGCCCTTCCCCACCCCCTCCCCCATCCCCTTCCCCCATCCCCTTCCCCTTCCCCCATCCCCTTCCCCTTCCCCTTCCCCCATCCCCTTTTTCTTTGAACTAAAGAAAGAAACAATAAATATTACAAAATACACCCAAGTGGTACTTTTTAGTAATAACCCTGGCATATGTATACATGTCGGTACATACATGTACATGTATGTACTATCACCATTGGAGTATAGAATCTAAATGATTTCTGACATACATTTACATGTACATGCAGATATTGGCAAAGGCAGTATATTGCTGTGCCCCGTTTCCTGCAACATGTCTAATTACTTATTACCTAATTTGCTCTCTGCTGTCCATACATGAAGGAAATCTCCCCGATGTCTCGTAATTATCCAACTTGGCGTGAGTTTAAGAGCCATTGCAATCAGGTTAATCATCAACCAAACTTTAAAGGGAAGGAACGGAGGTAGAGGAATAATGATGTAATACAAATCTTTTACGGCTCAATAGACCGATTTACTAACATTTCAAACGTTATGCATACCGTACTTTTAAAACAAAAACTTTTTTAAACAAAGGTTGTTCTTGACAACCCAAAAGCTTGCCCGAAGCTTGCCCGACATAGCAACAAGTAATATATGCAGAATGGATACCAAGCATTGTAGTTCATTCAGTAATAACAGATTAATGGAATAGCTCGTCACTAGGTCCCCAGGAAAGAAACATCCATAAATTTGATTATATATATGTTCTATTCACTTCATGTGGAGTGTTCATTGACCTTCAGGGTTTCTTTCTTGTAAAACTTTTTTCTTAATTGAAAAAATAACAAGTTTCATGTTTCTACATGTATAGCAAGTTTGCTCACACTGAATCAAGTGCAACAATTTCAGTAGCTTATAACAGTTATTGTAACCAGGTACATGTATATGGCAGGCAAAATCTTTGAAATGATTACTTGGGCAAGTTGGGCTTCATTATGCCATGGTGATAATTTCCAAGGCACTTTTGAAGAATGCAGTGAAATATGATATGCTAAAAAGACAAAGTTTTAAGAAAAGATCTGATTATATGTTACTATTGTTAGTTGCATGTGTTCAGCATATACTGTACATGTATAATTGAATTAACTCATTACCAATTGCCAATCAAAGAAATTTCAAATCAAAATCAAATCGTGCATTTTCATAACCAAACTTAGAGACAATTTTAGATCCTATGTATACAATGTATATGTACACTTTAGAGAGCAAGAGAAGAGTACAAAATAGAATTTAAAGTTCTGTAATGACTGCTCATAAGGGCTTGCTATTAAAGGTAAAGACCAGTATTGGAAACACCCCAATTTCAAAAAATGGAATGGAAGCTCTCATTACCAATCATGTGAAAGAATATGTTTTGACTAATGCATGATGATAAAAAATTTGCCGGGAAACCGCCTACTAATTCATATATTTGGTAAATTTGTTTCTCTCATGGTCTGTGAGAGATATAGGGTAGTCCCATATACATCTTTCTGTGTATAGTGCTTGTAACTTTACGAAGAATGGGCCACATTTCTTATCATTTTGATGATTCCAGAACCTTGCAGATGCTAGATGCTAGATGATCAACATTTTCTGATCGATTCCACAACGTTTCTTTCACAATGCAATCGCATGACCATAACTGGTCTTTACCTTTAAGGATCAAAGGCAAACATTAAGACAAGCCATCAGAAGTGGTGTGACACATTATCAATATTGACTGTCAGAGTCTTTATTGAAAGTCTAAATGACCTGAGCAATCATGATGTCCTTCATCGTGTCCACTTTAGCTAACCTGATGTGTAATACAGATGAGGTTATTCCTTTTTTATGAAATACTTTAGGACTCGCTCTCTCTATGGGAATTACATCTGTCTGTTACTCACTTTGTATTCATCCATTTAAAGCCGACTTGGACTGTAATTATACATTTAATCACAGAGTACTTTCACATCTAGTAGATATCAATGACATACATTTAATAGACAGGGGCTTAAAGGTAATACAAAGTTTTGGGAAATTTTGAAAATTGAGTGGATAGTGAATCTTTACCCTTTTGATATATTTAGATGCCCCTGTGGATGTATTATAAGCACTAAAAAAATTAGCCCCTAAAACACTTCTGTTTTTGAGAAAAATTGAATATAAAAATTTACCGGTGCTCCCGGTAAATTTTGATAAGTTTCAAATAGCGCCTATGGCCGTACAATGGTAGCTGCGACCATGAATATCTCAGAATATATAGTTGGGATATGTAATTTCCAAACGGGAATAGCTAATCGGTCGATTTTAGTCAAGAAACATTGTTTCATAGCTAAATTAATATCTTGACCTTGAGAGGGAGCTATACAACATAAAGAGTTTATTATTTATAATTTCATAACTTTAGACTCGATTTCAACCGCGACAACGATCAATGTATATTGAAGGAATGCATATGCTTCCAATATGTTAATTTGAACCAAATTCATGACCCCATACCAAAACTTTGTAATACCTTTAATGTGATTTGCCCGCCATTCTCTCTTAAAACTCACAATAAATGAAATCATATAAAGAAAGCTGCAATTAAATATAACTTAGTGTTAATGGGTGATACTGCTTGGAACCTTGAATCTAGAAGCAGCCATAAGCCCCTCATTAATGAAATTTACCCTGATGTGCCTGAACACATAATGTACACTATATCCTACTTTTTCAAACGCTAGATTGTGTTTGACACAAAATTTATCATACCAGCAAAAATGACACACATCTATCTTGAATTACACAAGTACACTGTTATGTAGTTTTCTGTTCACCTCAAATGGGTCAAACATATACTTTTACATGAACATGCATGATGGCAAAGAGTGAAGTATGATGAGGGTACTGAAAAAGTAGAAATATTCGCGGATTTTGCGCTAATTTTAGAACTCATGAAAATATAGCATGACTTCTTATGCATGTTTTGAAGGGGCTGATTTGCAACGCCAATTTAAGAACCGCGAATATGTTTTGGGGTCGCTCAGCGCGAAAAATTTACCACACAAAAATAACAGCGTTTACAGTATACACAATTTCAATGGGTCTATATATGCAGGCAGGGTAGCATGCCCACGCCCCCCCCCCCCTCTCTGGATACACTCCTGCAAACACATAGATTGATAGATAATATGAGAATGCAAGACTGAATGAACTTTTAGAAGATACGCTCTCAATAGGTAATTATGAAAGAGATAAATATCTCTGTTAAAAGAAATAATTAATATTTTAATAAAATAAACTTAAGTCCAGGCTGCTTTAATAGTGGGTGTACATGTACTGTATATACCCCCGGTACATGTTTGAAGGTCTTCTATCTCTTACAGTTGATTTGGAATATTGGTCATAACAAATAGATGATGTGATACTACGTGTGTGACGTACTATGGAAGATAATCTTTATTTATCTACTCCTCAAGTGGACCAATAGTGTTGAGGTTCTCTATACACTAATTACTAGACACAAAGTCCGCAAAATCAACCTCATTGCTATTTTTTTTAAAGATAAAAATTGAGTTCTGGTCTTGTGACTGCATTATGAAACAAACTGCCTGGAAGCAGTTTAAAAAGGTTTTTAATTATACTGCACATGCAAGTATTGGTGTATACTGTGAGGTTTTGGAATCAAAATGTTAAGAAAGTGGCCCAGTCTTGCTAAGAGTTACACGCACTGTACACAGAAATGTTTACTTGATGGGACTACACAAACATGTGACATGAAAGTTTGGTCCACAATTACCTTTATCTGTAAATAGCCATATTTCGAATATGAGGGCATTTGAAGAGTCATCCTTTATTTCTATTATACACTTCCACACTAACACAAAAAGAAGGAAAATGCTCACATATTATTTTTACCTTTTCTAGAACTCAACCTTCTCTATAAACATTTTGAGATATCACAAACTTAAAGTTAATCTGTAAATAGCCATATTTCGAATATAAGGGCATCTGAAGAGTCATCCTTTTCAGGGGATATTTTTTCTTATGAAACTCTTCCTCACTAAACATAAAAAGAAAGAAAATGCTCACACATTATTTTCGCCTTTCCCAGAACTCAACCTTCTCTCTAAACACTTTGAGATTTTACAAAGTTTAAAACTATGACAGTGCCATGCAAACATATCTGATGATGATATTAGAAGGCTAAGAAGCTGCATGTAACAGCTTGTTCACACAAGAATAAATTTATACGAAACTTATATAAATAATAGTAGCAAAAGGGATGCACACCCCGGATAATATAGAAACATTGTTTATTGTATAAAAGAAACTCATTTTTAAAGGGATCGTTTAACAATGTTAAATCTGAGATACACGACCCTACGTGTTATCAGTGTCTGTGATATGGTGAAATATTGAAGCCCTACAAAAATTGCGCTTCAAAATGATCAAGAAGTGCCTCAAAAAAGTAAAAATCTTTGAGTGACCGGTTTTACCATACTCGTTTTCCCCAATAGACTGTAGTGTTATGAAAACCGTCAGGCGAACGGTTTTCAAAATTTGTAATTCCAACCATAAATATCTTGATAATCAGACAGGCAATCGGCTTGTAAAAGTCATGGGGTTCCTGACTGACCTAAAGGTTTATAATTATCATTGCAGCATGAGCTAAATCAAGAATTTTGTTTCAGAATCTGAGACAAAGTTACCCGATCCCTTTAAGAGGTCAGTCGACGTGACTGCTGGCCTAGCTGTTATCTGTGCATGCTCACCATTAGCCCTGCACAGTGACATTGTTTTCGTATGATACAATTTTCAGGCGAGAACTGGCCCCTGTTTCTTTATCTAGTCTCATTTGTAAACAATGCTCAAATATGCATTTCAGCTATTCAACATTTCGTAATAAGATAATCAGATTAATTTTGTTGTTGATATTTTCATATAGCTATTCAATTAATTTTGCTGGTCTGAACATTGGGGGGGGGGGCATTGATGACTAGGAATACATCCGTAAACATAAACCACTGAATGCACACATCCCATTTCCTTCCGTATTACTCCTATTCTATTCCTTTTCTATTAAATATCAACCACAAGTTCCACACAGGACATCTCATTGCAATATGGTCACAGAGATATTTATCTATTCCTGCACATAACTCTTCTATCATGCCCAAATATGAAGCAAAGGATCTACATAGTGGTTGGAAATTTAAATTTCTAAGCTCTTTTCTAGAAGGCAACCTTGAATAATATTGTGGTTTGAATTTCTGGTTTTGTTTCGGTTTATCAGAGCAGTAAGCCCTTAGGTTACAGTGTATGTGTATCTCAATTCATCATCACATTACATTTCAATTTCAACTTTCAATTTGATTATTTCAATTCCAGCAAATACATTACAAATACAAACATGTACCATGTACCGTAGGTAAATATGTACATTAATACATGAATATAAAGAGTTTGATTTTTTTAAAGTATGATACAGTACAAATTTTACAAAACGGTATGATGGGAATTCGGATGGCCATAATTTCAAGACTGTCATTTTAAAGCTATGGATACAGTCATTGAGTATAATCTTAACGGATGAAATTCAATGTTTTGTATGATCAGCAAAGGTGAATTCTGGAATAGCAAACCTTCATTCTTTTAAAGAGTGCTTGAAAGAGAATGTGAATGTAACGAGTGTGTACATGCAGAAATGTGTAGACACAGAGTATTAAGTTTGTATAGTAGTACATGTATGTATACATTTACAGATGAAACATGTAGAAGATTTTAATTTAATTTATTTTCTTGGCTACAAATGAGACAACAAATTATCAGATTTCTAGGAGGGCTTGGCATGGAATAAGTGTAGAAACAGACCATACATCAAGTATGCTTTTTCTGCAAAAGAATATGTTTCGTACAGTTAACAAGTTGCCAAGTGTAGCCTCTGGCGCAAGGGACATGTCACATGATTGGGGGAGAGAGACAGAGGGAGGGAGGGAAGGAGGGAGGGAGGGAGACAGACAGACAGACAGAGGGAGACAAAGAGAAAGAGAAAGAAACAGAAAGGGAAAGAGAGAAAGATCTACATATGTCCTTCCTGTATGAAATCATGTGCCTAGTATTACAGTATAAATACATTAAAGGCCAAGTCCACTCCAAAAATAATTTACTTTCAATAGAAGCAGAAAAAACAGACAAACCAATCAAAAAAAGTTTGAACAAAATCGGGTAACTATTATGAAAGTTTTTGAAAAAGTATGTAAAAGTATAGTACAATGGAAATCACTACACAAATTGCCAATTTGGTTATCAGTTTGTGACTGGACTTGGCCTTTAAGTAATTAGAGAGATTACATAACAATATGGTATTACTTGGCCTCTGGAAGATGGGGCTCAGGGGGCATTCACCAAACAGAGTGACCCTATGCATTAAACTCATTGGATCCCCCCCCCCCCCATTTGAATGGTTCTGCAGCTGCTGTACTGGTTCCTACATGCACTCTGTAGACAAATCCTGTTTCCTTTTGAATATTCAATTTCATACGAAGTGTCTACTGTACATTTCATATGTTATCCATATCACACTATAACATGGCACTATTGTTATGGCAAGACATTAATCTTCATTTGCCTCTCTCCACCCAGGTGAGGAAAATGGGTACCCGGTAGGAAGTAATTCCTTGGTATTCATAAGTGCCTCATGGTGGCTTGGCTAAAGCCGGGTAATAATATGATTGCAGGGCCATCAGGAAGAACAGTTTAGTATTAAAGGAAACCTAAACCCAAAGATTAAGTGTAGGTATTCTGAAAAATGAGATGTATGCCTGCCTTTTGATGTACAATATTCCTTTCGAAAATGTAAAAGATATATATAAATGAAGATATTCCTGGCATGATGTGATGCCTTTCAGCATGATATGGGCGCAGCCATTTTCATGGAAATGTGACGTACCTGTTGAAGTTGTACATGTATCTTGCACCAAGTTTTAATTGGAAATAATTTTTAAATCAATAACGAAACCTTTACTTTTCAATGAAAAATAATAATAACTGAGATGATAGAAAATATATTAGGTGAAAATAAATAACAGGGGCACAATTGTAACAAAATTAATTTATAAATACTTCATTATAGCAGTTGACAAATCTATTTCATTTATGAGAAACCTTCACCCCAGAAGGGCACTATTTATTTATTTATGCAATTTGCGTTCTGGCAATCATAGTACAAAGGATAATAGCAGGTGAATGAAATGTCTCATCACCACACACGTCTGGGAAAGAAGCATCCATAAATTAGAATACATTTACTTGATGAACGACTTCGCTTAGTACGTCACATTATCGTGAAAATGGCGATGCCCATGTCGTGCTGAGAAACTGTACTTTATTTTTGCTTTATTCCTTTCTCATACACTTTGGTGGGGAATCTTGTAGATTTATGGGCAATAATATAATAAATCTCTCAGAATAAGTAAATTTATTACTTGGGGTTCAGTTTCCTTTAATACTGATGAGGCCGCTCTAGGTACATAAGACATATTACTATTAGCATCAAGTACCGGTATGTCATAAGAGTTCCTTGTTCTTTAAATATATGATAGCTTTGATTTGAAATAGATTCCTGCATTACATATAACTTTATCTTTATTTTCTTCTGCAGCGGACAAGTCATCGTTTGCACCTCAGTACATGGGTATAGACTTCAGGGGAGAGGCAGTCACGTTCAAGGCGACGACTCAAGGTGTCTTGACGACACTCTCACATTGTATCGACCTCATGAAGCAGAGGGAAGAGCAGTGGCAGAAACGATTAGATAAGGTTGGTATACATCTACACAGAAAGCATCAAGTCTAGAATAATATCAGAGGTCAGTGGATCAGTCACTGGACGGTGGATCACATGATGATTGCGGTTCGAGTCCCAAGATACCAATCTACATTTGCCACTCTCCACTCAGGTCTTTAATGGGTACCCGGTAGGATGCGAACGCTAATGTGGTTGGATTGGCATGTGTGCGCTTCTAAAATGGTGCCAGGTCTGAATACTCCCATAAGGAGCGGAATGTGTGCACAATCACGTACAGATAAGTCATTGAATTTAATGACAGAGTGATAATTAATTATAATATAAAGCGCTTTGAGACATAGTAGTAAGTGCTATACAATCGTGACTATTATTATTATATAACAATAATAATGATTATCAAAGATATGATAATAATGGTTATTAACCGTATCAGACATCTGAGCAGGGCAATTTTTAAATGCCATTGCCCTCAAGGTTTGATGGATAAGCGAACAAAACTACAGGCGAAAAAAATATTATTGACCCCTCAGAAAAGTCAATGTGATTTTGTGTGTAATTTGCCGGCCAATACGGTTATACAGTAAACCAATGAACAAATATTATTGCCCGATCTGAAAAGTCAATGGCAAAATGCGTGTTAAACTAGTGAGCAATAATATAGAGCCAGTTGTAAATTTCATCGGGCATCAGCTACTGGTATTACGCGTATAAGAAAATGCGCACTTTGCGCGAACTATATTGTGACGTAACAATCACACCCTAGGCACACTGTTTGCAGTGCATCGAAAATTCATCAAACACTGGATGCACAGTGCTGGTTTGATGATGTTTTTGCAACTTCTAATGCTAGGAAACCATGTGCAGTGTAGGCTACATAATTTAAGAGTTTAAGATAGTAAGAGTTTCTTGTTTGCTCTAGATGTCTGATGTGGTTGATAATAGTAATATTGACTGCCTAATTCAAGGCAATACGACTTGTCATATATCTCCCTCACCTTTGGTTCGGGCGATATATGTCGTATTGCCCAGAAGGCAGTCAATATTACTTAATTATTATAGATATGATAAAACAAGTAGACCAGATTCTCAACAAGTTTTATTCTGCTCATTACTGTAAATATTACAACTCTGAATGTTTGCAATTCGTGAATGTTCTTGCCTTGGGAGTGGCCTTTTTCACAATTTGCAAACGTTTCCGGTTTTACCCAACTGGACAACTACTAAGGAAAATGAGTCACATTTGGAAGCCATCCTTACCCAGGCAACCTATTGTGTCCTTTCAATAACGGTGGATAACTTCATGCTTCCAAATTCCGGTATTTATTGGTTTTCAATGAAATGTGTGATAAAGAAAGATTAACTTTTGGGTATTGTAAATTGTATCAATTTGACAATCATTTATACATACTGCATCATTCTCTTTATCCTTTTATCAATTCAGGAACAAGACAGGAGAAAGCGAGCTGTAGAGGCCTACAAGCTAGTCGTTCAAGAACGCAAGATCCAAGCCAGGATAGGGGGTCCTGACTATGAGGTAAATTAGCTGTACTAATCCCCTTTGAGATATTATAAGTAAGGTTCTTGTACATAAAGCATAGTGAACCTCAGGATAGGGGGTCCTGACTATGAGGTAAATTAGCTGTACTAATCCCCTGGAGATAGTATAAGTAAGGTTCTGGTACATCAAGCATAGTGAAACTCAGGATAGGGGGTCCTGAATATGAGGTAAATTAGCTGTACTAATCCCCTGGACATAGTATAAGTAAGGTTCTTGTACATAAAGCGTAGTGACACCCAGGGTAGGGGGTCCTGACTATGAGGTAAATTAGCTGTACTAATCCCCTGGAGATAGTATAAGTAAAGTTCTGGTACATATAGCGTAGTGAAACCCAGGATAAGGGATCCTGACTATGAGGTAAATTAGCTGTACTAATCCCCTGGAGATGGTATAAGTAAGGTTCTTGTAGATAGAGCATAGTGACACCCAGGATAGGGGGTCCTGTAGAGGCTTACAAACTGGTCGTTCAAGAACGTAAGATCCAAGCCAGAATAGGGGGTCCTGACTATGGGGTAAATTAGCTGTACTAATCCCCTGAAGATAGTATAAGACTAATCCCCTGGTGATAGTATAAGTAAGGTTCTTGTACATCAAAGTGTAGTGAAACCCAGGGTTGGGGGTCCAGACTATGAGGTAAATTAGCTGTACTAATCTCCTGGAGATAGTATAAGTAAGATTCTTGTACATAAAGCATAGTGAAACCCAGGATAGGAGGTCCTGACTACCGGTATGAGGTAAATTAGCTGTACTAATCCCCGAGAGATAGTATAAGTAAGGTTCTTGTACATAAAGCATAGTGAAACCCAGGATAGGAGGTCCTGACTACCGGTATGAGGTAAATTAGCTGTACTAATCCCCGGGAGATAGTATAAGTAAGGTTCTTGTACATAAAGCATAGTAAAACCCAGGATAGGAGGTTCTGACTACCGGTATGAGGTAAATTAGCTGTACTAATCCCCGGGAGATGGTATAAGTAAGGTTCTTGTACATAAAGCGTAGTGAAACCCAGGATAGGAGGTCCTGAGTATGAGGTAAATTAGCTGTACTAATCCCCTTTGAGATAGTATAAGTAAGGTTCTTGTACATAAAGCGTAGTGAAACCCAGGATAGGAGGTCCAGACTATGAGGTAAATCAGCTGTACTAATCCCCTGGAGATAGTATAAGTAAGGTTCTTGTACATCAAGGGTAGTGAAACCCAGGATAGGAGGTCCTGACTACCGGTATGAGGTAAATTAGCTGTACTAATCCCCTGGAGATAGTATAAGTAAGGTTCTTGTACATAAAGCGTAGTGAAACCCAGGATAGGAGGTCCTGACTATGAGGTAAATTAGCTGTACTAATCCCCTGGAAATAGTATAAGTAAGGTTCTTGTACATAAAGCATAGTGAAACCCAGGATAGGGGTCCTGACTATGAGTTATATCAGCTGTACTAATCCCCTGGAGATAGTATAAGTAAGGTTCTTGTATATAAAGCATAGTGAAACCCAGAATAGGGGTCCTGACTATGAGGTAAATCAGCTGTACTAATCCCCTGGAGATAGTATAAGTAAGGTTCTTGTACATAAAGCATAGTGAAACCCAGGATAGGGGTCCTGACTATGACTTATATCAGCTGTACTAATCCCCTGGAGATAGTATAAGTAAGGTTCTTGTACATTATGCATAGTGAAACCCAGGATAGGGGGTCCTGACTATGAGGTTAATTAGCTGTACTAATTCCCTGGAGATAGTATAAGTAAGGTTCTTTTACATAAAAGCGTAGTGAAACCCAGGATAGGGGGTCCTGACTATGAGGTAAATGAGCTGTACTAATCCCCTGGAGATAGTATATTAAAGTAAGATTCTTGTACATAAAGCGTAGTGAAACCCAGGATAGAGGTTTCTGACTACCGGTATGAGGTAAATTAGCTGTCCTAATCCCCTGGAGATAGTATAAGTAAGTTTCTCCCAATAAAGCATAGTGAAACCCAGGATAGGGATTTCTGACTACCGGTATGAGGTAAATTAGCTATACTAATCCCCTGGAGATAGTATTCATGTAAGTAAGTTTCTTGTACATAAAGCATAGTGACACCCAGGATGGGGGGTCCTGACAATGAGGTAAATCAGCTGTACTAAGGGGGTTGTTAGTGGCACACATGCATATTAAAGACTGTACACTATTTTTCCTTCTTTTTTTCTGTTCATGAAGTAAGTTATTCAATATGGTTGAATGGGCTTGACTGGAGGGCACCCCACCCCCCCCCCCCATACATCACACTGAAGTTAGAAAGTTAAAAAAAAAGTGATTCATCTTAAACATCTTTTATTCATACATCAGTGTGAATTGAATCGTACTCATCAGGATGAAACATACTTCCCTTACAATTTGAGAAGGCTGGCATTTACTGTTGATTCATAGAATTATAAACTTTTGTTTCACCTGTCAGTCATCCTGCTGCCAGGAATAATTACTCATGTATTCTAGTCATCATTTTAATCCCCTCGAAAGGAATCATATTTCCAAGTTGCGATTCACATTAATTTGTGCGGCTTTTGAAAGTTTTCTTTCCTCTCGTTCTCATTACAGGAAGGACCTCACAGTATCATGAAAGAAGAGGAATTCTTTGATGCCATCGAAGCTGCCTTAGATATCCACGACGAACAGGATTCAGAAAGAAATACAGTAAGTTTCTTCTAAGCAGGTCTCAGAAGAGGTTCAATTTTCATATTACTATTAATTAACATAATTAAAAAGTAGTGAACAATATATGCCATCTCCTACATAAATATACCTTAACTAACAAATTGATGAAAGTGGAATCATTTCTGATTTCTTTTTCGTCTCCAGCTCGCAAGAAGCTACTTACTGAATCTTATCTTGAATCCTGCGCATTACGAGTCCTTTGTCTAGAAGCTTTAAGATCAGTTATTTCTCCACAATGGGTAGAGAAATGACCTGTTTTGGTGAGCTTTTGCTTACTACCATGCAAGCTTCTTTAGACCCTTAAAGCTGCTGGTGCTGTTGCTGATGCAATATGACGATATGGTAGGGGAAACTGAAGAAGCTTGGTGCATGGCAAGCAAAAGCTTCAAAACCTCACCTAAATTGGTAATTTTCTACTTATTGTGAATAAAGAACTCATTTTCAAGCCTCTAGACAAGGTACTCATAATTAGCTGGATTCAGAAAGAGATACAGAAAGTTGCTTTTCGCAAGCTTGGAGACAAATTAGACACTAGTATCGCTTCCACTTTCATCAATTTGTTAGTAAGGTATGTTTACAGATTTATGTAGGAGATGGCATATATTTTTTGCTACATTTTAGTTATGTTTATCGATCATAATATAGAAGTATACGCTTGCCAATTCTAAGGGGGTCAAATCGTTTCCGTCACTGTTTTTCACCTATATTCTATGTGTAGTTGAGCTCAGAGGTACAACCCAGATGAACTATAAATCACTTAATATTTTCTCTACTGTTCAGAATGTTATCAAAACAAGAAAGCCTGTTCCACAGCAGAAATGTGTAACTTGTGTACCCCAATCCCTTCAAGTCTAGCATTTTCTGTGAACCAGGGCCGGTATTCAATTCAATACTTAAGTTCGAAATATGGATGAAAAACTTAGCCAATTTTGGTATTCTGTTCAAACATTTGGCTAAGTATTTTACCTTAACTTTAAGACAGCTCGCTACCAGACTTAAGCCAATTATTTGGAGGCCTTGATTGGCAGGCATATGGTTTTCTAACATAGTTTCATAACCTTCGCACAATCATGTTAACACACATTTATTGTTTCGCATTAATTGCGTATTACTTTTGATTGACCGTGTGATGTCATAATGCTTATCAGAAAGTATTTTACTTAGATTTTGTCTGATTTCATTTATGTACAAGTTTAAAATGCGATTTGAATATGAGATAAGTAAAGTTCTTTGCTTAGTAATTTACTTAGTAAAGTTCTTACTATTCTAAGTATTGAATTGAATACCGGCCAAGATACTAGAGGTGATTTGAGAAGAGGTAATATTTAACTGCTGAAAATACATTTGGAAACATTGAACCCGAAATTGATAGGATGCAAGACCATATGGATGGTAATTATTATTATGTAATTCCTTCAAAATTTCTTCTTACTTACATTACGTCCATGATGTGAAGATAATCAGTGCTATAGTGGAAAAGAATTTGTGCTGTTTCATTATCAACTTTATTTCTTTGCTTGCAGAACATTAATCAGTTTCCTTTTATTTTTTCCTTACATTCTTGTACTGTACAAATTGATAAAACAATTCCTAACCATGTCAATTTGTTAAATAGTTCATTTAGGGCTGGGTCTCATGCATCTGTGAAGGAAGTTAATTTTTATGTAATGTCAGATCTTCTGTGATAGAAATTGAAAGTTTTTGGTTTGATGTGATGTTGGATCATCTATAAAACAAATTAATTTGTGAATGTTCTGTTTTGGTCAGGTCAGAGACAATCCTGATACATTGTATGCCAGGACGATATGTGCAGACACGCCTCCAGCTGAACACAAGCTATCACAACAGGTACGTCTACTTTTTATCAGGACGACTATCCCTTTGATGACTACCTCCAGGAGCCACCACCTCCAAGGATAACTACCCTTAAGAATAACCATTCTCAAGAACAGACATATATTCCATGTACAGCTAACCTTCAAGCATAATTATATATTCCCAAGGGAAAAAACCTCCAGGATAACTATCCCCAGGGCAACTTCCACAGAAAACTACTCCATATTAAACAACTCCCTATGAAAATTACCCCAAAGTTTCGACCCCCAGGATAAATACCCCATAGCAAAATCTATGTGCAGACACGCTTCAATCTAAACAAAAGGTATCACATCATGTAGGTCTAACTCCTATCAGGAGGACTATCTCCTTGGCAAAATATATGTGCAGACATGTCTCATTCAGAACATGAGCTATCACAACAAGTATTGTCGGTCTACTTTGTATTAGGACAACTTTTCCTGGACATCTGCCTCCAACAACTACCCCTGAACAACTAGCCCAAAGGACAACTACCCCTAGAGATAACTACCCCTAAGGATAACTATTTTTAAGAACAAGACCACCAGACATTATTCCATGCACAGCTACCTTTAGGACAATTCCTGTAGGCAATAATCTACAGACAAACTACCCTGGGGACAAGTACCCATGTCCAACATACCTAAAGGTATATTACCCCCAGCGAACTACCCCATGACGAATATGTGGCAGACACACCTACATGTGAACACAAGCTATCAAAACAGGTAGGTCTGTCAGGATGACTATCCATGGACGACTACCTCCAAGAGTAACCACCTTCAAGGACAACTACCCCTAATGAGGACCATTCCTATGAACATTGACCCCCAGACATTAACTCCATGTATAACTACCCTCCCAGTATAATTTTCTACTCCAAGGAATGATACCTGTAGGACAATTCTCTTGGACAATATCTCACTCCTGTGACGATTATCCATGGAGAATATCTCACAGGACAAATATCTGCAGGATGACTATCCCCAGGACAACTACCCTCAGAAAAGTTATCTATTTTCAACTGCTCCCTTGGAAAATTACCCCAAAAATCTTCCTCCAGGACAAATACCCCATGGCAAAATCTATGTGTAGACACGCCTCAATCTGAACACAAGCTATCACAACAGCCCGGTCTATCTCGCATCAGGACATCTATCCCTGGACTGTGGCTGGACAACTTTCCCTGGACAACCACCGCAAAGACAAGAACCCCTAAGGATTATTACCCTTGTCCAAAGAACATTGTCCACCAGATATTTATTCCATGCACATCTACCATCAAAGGATAAAACTCCTTTAGGACAATTCCTGTTAGAAATATCCCCATAGACAGCTACCCTTGTGACAATTACCCATGGACAATTTGTATCTCCAGAACAAGTACCCCCAGAAAACTACTCCTTGTTCAATATAACCCCAATTTAAATTACCCTCAGCTAACTTCCCACAGGACAAAGACCCAATCCAATTCAATTCAATTCAATTTTATTTGTCCAAATTAAGTAAATAGAAATGTTACATGGAATTTTGTATAATCAATAAAAGTACATATATATAAACAAAAAAAAACACAGTAATAATTGAATTATATAAGTGGCACAATGTATTTGCTGACACACCTAGATCTGAAAACAAGCTATCACTAGTAGATCTGCTACAAATTAGGACAACTGTCCCTGGACAACTTCCTCCAAGGACAACGATCCCTTGAAAACTACCCTGAAAGACTACCTCTCTTACTATCATCCCATGATGACTACCCCTGGGACCTGTTTCACAAAGCCTTTTTCAATGACAAATTACAAAAATAAGTGACAAATCTGCTGATAACCAATCAGAAACAAGGATTCCAGTAGCTTTTAACGAAAACTGTCATTTGTCACTGATGACAAGTTTTGTGAACCCCCCCCCCCTGGACTCCTTAGATTCCTTAGACAACTACTTCTTGACTATCCCCATAGACAACCTTCCTCAGGGCAATGACCCCTGATAACTACATCCTTGTATAAGTACCTCCCCCCCCCCCTTCCGTAATTACCCCAAAAACAATTACCTAAAGAAATACACCTCTCAGCTCAGACAATAAACCCTTGACAACTACATGTATTCAATGTACAACTCACCTCAAGAAAAAATACCACAAGGACACTATTCCCTAGACAACTAAACCTGGACAACCACCACTCAGACAATAACTACCAGACAGCTACTTCATGTTGAGCTACCACAGGACTATTACTACCAAATTGCCATCCCCAAAACAAAAGTAGTGACCCACATACAACTACTCCATGTTAATCTACATGTACTCTTCATTGAAAATTAACCCAAAACACTTACACCAAGGAAAAGTACCTCAAGGACAATGTTGTCTTCCTGGCCCTCAGACAACTACCCCAGGACAACCACCCACAAGGACAATAACCTCCAAATATTTAGTCATTCAAATACACTCTAGGGCGGTTACTTTCAACTTCAACAACTACCCCCAGTGAAAAACTTCTTACCAGGAGGGTTATAAACCTGCAACATCTTCTGTTTGTCTGCGCATTTGACTATACCACTATACAAATTTGTTGCATGGTTTAGACGGATTGTAAACAAATATCTCGGTCCTTTCAAAGCTCTCTTTAATGTGATTTCTTGAGTTATCCTGTTCTTTACATGGCTATAACCCATAGGACCAACAGCTCACAGTACTGGTGGCCTATGAGACCGACAGACTGCACAACTGACATCATCATTTTTGCAGGCCTTCATGAACAAAAAGAGGGTTCACAAGACTTGATGACCCATGAGCCAACAGTGTTATCTACCTTTAATAAACCAACATTGTCCGTCTCTTGGGCCTTCTGAAAACTTTTCTGAGGATTCATGAGCCTGATAATCATCCGTCCCATAGTTTGTTGTCCTGATGAGCTATCGGACTCATGGGCAATTGGCATACAAGAATGTCCTTTCAATTTGATGTCTATTGTATTGGAAATGGAAGTGGAAGTTATTGTAGAAGTTTTTAATATGTTATGGTTCGTATTTATATCTTTGCAGTGCAATGAGAAAGTAGAAGAGAACATAAAGTATGCGTTCTCAAAGATTGAGAGTACTTGGGACCTGATACATGTAGAGGGCGAGATGAAGGTAAGTTCATTCATCTTTATAAACTTTTCTTGGGAAGAACATTAGAATTTTATGATGATAGTGTGTCTCAAATTATAATAAGCCCGTTGGTAAATACTATCTGCGCATGGGCAGATAAAGGTCATTTGTTCCCAAATTGTAAAACCCATAGAGACGAATACTGGTATCGTGCTCATGAAAGTTATGTAATCAGTATTCATTTATGCACCGACAGTACATTTATATGACACACAGGTGGAAGTATTCTTCTCAAGACACAAACAAAAGGTATTCATAAAGCACCTCCATCACTTCGGCAGTGATTATTCTAAAAATGGGATGTATCCATCGTGTAAACGATCTGTGGATATTTTGGGTCATGCGTTCCGAAGCTATTTACGAACTGGCTTATTGACCCTGGTCATTGGGCCCGGGGTTATGATATCTGTATTGCCATTGCACATTCTCGGCTCCACAGGGAGCATTCCAGCCAGTTGCTATTTTACTATTCTAACCATGATTTTCAAATCTTACCTGGTATCCATTTATACACCAGAATTTAATCGCCTATTTCTCTTCTTTTCATCGGCTATTTAATCACCTTTTTCTCCTCTGTTGCTTTCTAACTGGCCGTTTCATCGTCATCAAGCTAGTTTTTAGGTCCACAGCTTCTGAGTTTTCAAAGTTTAGATTTTGAGTTTTCAGAGAGCTGTTCCTTTTCTGACAGACACTAAAATAGCATATAATTGAAATATCATTGTAATCTATGGCTTTATAGCGCTTAGAGACTTCGGTGGTAAGCGCTTTATAAGTAACGTTTTTATTATTATTTATTATTATTATTATGAGCTGTCCCTTGATATATAATTCATCTATTTCATTTTTCACTTCTGACAGGGTCTTTAAAGATACTATGTCCCTTTTGCAGCCAACCTGAAATTCTGTAGAACTTTGCAGGAATTATGAATATGTCATGTACAATGTATGTCCTATCTGTGAAATTTAAACGATAGCAGTGTCCTAATATTCAAATTATGCAAGGAAACCCGTTTACTTGCTAGACTTCACTGTCAGACACTATTGAGTGACTGACTGGCTTTTTTTTTGGGGGGGGGGGGGGGGGGGGGTAATAACGTACATAAAATGAGCTGTAAAGGATTTGTCTACATCAATAACCCACATCTTATAATGGCCAAAATTAAACTGATTGAATCTTTGCGCAGCATTAAACGTACGACCATGCGGTACAATGGTCTGAAAATCAAGACTATTACTTATTGGCTCTATAGCTCCTAAGTCAATTTCTAATAGTCATTATTTTCCCACTTAAAGACATTTTCAAGCTCCCTTTTTTTAAGGGGAGTTTTAAATTAGTATTATCTTCCAAATGCCATTGGAATTTAACCTTTTCATTTTTTGGCCTGCAAATGGGACATAGTACCTTTAAATTAGTATTTTACCAAGAAAAACAGAGTACAATAAACTCAAAACAGGACTTAAAATCTAAGGCCGGAGGATAAGATTAGAGACCAAAGGAAGTCAAGGATATCCCTTTTCGAGACAAAACTCTTTGATACATTTCTGTTATCTCCATGTAGTATTGGAATTGGTCATAACATGTACATGCATATATCAAGTTCACTGATGACTGGAGTGCTCTAGCGCCATCTAGTGCTGAAAGTGAGGAAAATGACAAACAGGAAACTTCACTGTACTTTTGTTGCAATTGTTATGAACATAAATGGTTGAAAATTAAGAACAAGTACATAGTTGCATCTAAATCAGGATTTGGAGGACTACACCCACATTATAAACTGAATGTGAAAGTGTTTGCTGTTGCTTGTATTTCCACCAATTTGTCCTTTGCATGTTTTATGTATGAAAATTTCAGTCACACAATCAAATAGGACAAACTTCTTTTTCATTTTGGTCAGTGTTGCGTGCAAATTTAATTTTTTTAATTTTTTGACCTCCAAAATATATATTCTCTGGCCATTTATTCACACCTTCAGTTTACTGCATCACGTTAGAACTCTGGTTTAGGCTTTTTTCCTACCAGGTTCCGTCATTTCTCCTTGGTGATACCCTAGATAAAATTGAACCCAAGTGTTTGACCTCAGTGGTTGAGAATGATCAAGTACGGTAAACAGATTAAGGTTTTCCAGCTGTATATACATGACATAACTGTAGCTGTAGTAAAGAGAAATGTGTTAAATGGCATTGGCTTTTTTAACTTAGAATCTATATAAATTTACCATTATACCATCATTAGAGCTATGCAGATTAGTACAACCGGTAGGTGATATAGAGGTTGTCTTTCAAAAGGCCTTGTGTCCAATACCTTACAGTTGACCCATTGGCCACTTCGCACCTAGTCAAATTCTATTTTAATGTTTGTCCACCTGCACATGTAAATCTCCCCCCCCCCCCCCAAAAAAAAGGGGGGGGGTATCTATCCAATTGCTTAGAGCCATGGCCTACTAGATAGCTTTTGTCCCCTATCAGGGGTAGTTCTTTTTAAGTTGTCAGATGATGTTAGATTGGTATTGGTAATAGTAATAATACTGAAAATAAGATGTAGTAGTAGTAGATTTGTTAGTGGTAGTCGTAGTAGCATTAGTACATGTAGTAGTAGACTTAACACTCATGGGGCTCCGCAATGGGATAACCTACCAAACTTGAGAATGATCACTGCATTACAATAAAGTAAATTTTGGTAAGAATCTAGGTGTTTGCATATTGTAACAAATAGGTATGAGGAAATAGATGACTCTAAATAAAAATTTGATAGCGTGTGAAGCACTAGACAACATGGTTTTGATAAATCTGTTTCCATAGGATTGTTTATATGTTGTTTAGTCAATTGGTCTACCGCATGATACACAATTCAGAATTGCTTTCAGTTAGTATCTCTCAAAATACAGTTTCATTAACCAGACTTCAAACTTACATGTAGTTCAAACTATCAGGAATCCTCCTGCTAACAACCTTTTGCTAGGTGCATTAGCAACATTTTAGACTTCATTAGATATCCAGCAAAGAAAAAAGAATTGTCAGACAGTAATAATAGTATGTGCAGTCCTGGGGAGTGTTTCACAAAGACTAAGATCGACTTTAAGTTGGACTTAACTATGGTAGGCTGTTTGTGCCACTGGTTGCTATCAGCATTGGTCTCTCAATTATGATCTTTAGAAAATATTTTTTCCTTCGGTAATGAACTATCAGAAAATGTAAATTCTGTAGATTTGTGACCACAATTGGTGCCTCCCTTGTGAAACCAATGCCAGTAATAGTGAGAGAAAACAGTGGCATAAACGGCCTGCCATAGTTAAGTCCAAGTTAAAGTCGATCTTAGTCTTTTTGAAACACTCCCCTGATAAGGCAAGAGTCTTTTAATAGTCATGTCATAAGCACACAGTTAGGACATACATGTAGAAGATAGGGGATTGCAAAGTGTAGTGGGTTTTGACAGACAGGAGATAAATTAAGCTGGGATTATCTGTTGTAATGTCAGAGTAAAATGGGTATATTGATTATCTACAATGTATGGCCAGGAGTATCTTCCTTTTGATTGAATTGACCCCCCTCCCCTTCCCATTGGAATGGGGTCAGGGCACTGTTGCCATCGTGCATCATTGATCAGAAGTTGTCATAAATGTAGTGTCTTAAAGGTACAAACCAGTTTTGGAAATGCCCCCTCTCAAAAAAATGAAATGAAAGCTCTTATTACCAATCACGTGAAAGAATATGTTATGACCAATACGTGACGATACAATTTTTTCCGGGAAACGGCCTACTAATTGATATATTTGGTAAATTATCATATCAATCCGGCCTGGATAGATATCGTGAATGCACTTGAACATTTGGGCATATATTTCTGGGTTTTTTTTGCAAATTCAGGTTGAAATATTGCCATCTAAGCCTCTGAAGGCAATATTTAAACAATATTGAATGGATATTTTGCACCCAAAACCCTTAAACCGCAACTTTACCACTACCGGTCTTTACCTTTAAGCACTTGAAATTAGACTAACAGTGCTCATGAAGGCCATGCATATAACAGTCACCACTGACCTTGACAAAGCAACAACAATTACAACAATATTTGATGATTTTTATTAGTCATTTTGTGCTATGACAGGTAATAATAAATATGTCATCAAGGAGGTGAACCAGAAAAAAATAAATTGTTTTTATTGATTATTACTGCAATTTTGTAATTGTGGGTTTCATTACCACACCTTAAAAACAAATTTACAATAGTAACTGATACATGCATAATGAATAACTCTTTATATTTATTCAAAAGTTAGATATCTTTCCGGGGGGGGGGGGGGGGGGGGGTGTGGAAGGTTGACTTTCATGACGAAGTACTGGATATGTAATTGATTACAGGTTCATTTTCTGTCAATTATGCTCAAAGTCAAGTGGTGATTAAAAACACTTTCCCATTTAATATAAACAAATGGGATTCATGGCACATTTTAAACCTTGTATTCTGTATTAGCTACTTGTAAACTTGTAGTCTCATGTTATCTTTGGTAAAGGAAAGTTTTGTTTGGTAGTTGATGATTAGGAATAGAAACCAAATAATTTGCTTCATTTTTTAGACCCATTCAAAAGAAATCTTGTCAGTGAAGCACCCTAAGGAGTTAGTTTACAAGTATTAGAAATATATGTTTACCAGTTTAGATACTCTGGCTATCAGTCTTACTATAATTGATGTCTTTTTGGTTTTTGAAACAAGAATGCAAATGTGGTCATTAGTACATGCACATTGTTCTATTGTTGTTATTGGTACTGACATCTTACATTGTCTACATGATTAAAGAACGTGATGCATGGTATATTCCAATCATACTGATAATGATTTTATGTAGCACATGTCATTTCATACCTAAAAATGGTTTCCAAGTGTTATGAAAATTGCTAGCCTGCTGTAGCCCTTATAGCTGGTGTCAATGCACAGCTTGTTTCAAGGAGTAAATTCTGACAGGTACCCATTCAACACCTAGGTG